GTAATAATCTTTCCATATTATCCCAGTGGATAGGAAAGCCGTAAAACGGTTTGATCATGTGAAGACCACGGTCTCTCGTCCTCTTACCAGTCCATGTCGGATATGGGAATAGTTAACCGGTTATTACTAGTTCTGGGTGTGTGAACTTGATGACGGAGGCAGTTATAGCCGACCAGCGGTTACGTAAGTCGTAAACCACCTATGGGTGTTAGCAATCTTCATTCACATAATTTGACTCCACATGATTCCAACCCTTCTACAAGAGTATTTGAAGGTGCCATGGCAATTCAGTTTATAACACTAAGCACCATGTGCCCCCTCCTGGCCGAAGTATTCCTTAAAAGACGTATAAAAAATATGGCTCGAACTATGCCTCTATCGAAACAATCATGATCTGACTCCAACAGGCTTTGTCAAATGAAACTAAATACGTATGACTAATATATGCAATGATTATTAGCCCGTTAAGATTGAACTACTTATATATTATTGAAATAAATATATCTGTAGAGTTGTATATTCCTACTAAATCGTGGCTTTATATGTCAGTTTAGTTTGGACTTATCAAGTTGTCAAAACCCCTTAAAGACGTGTGCGCGCAGCGACTTAGGATCCGCAATCTTTAAATAGGTTATTCTTTTTCCTCCTTTGCCTGTTTGAATAGTTTATATTGTGTGAATAAATATCATTTACAATAATGCTAAATGAGAAATATTTATCGTACTACCCACATATGGAAGTTTCCTCCCCTAAAACAATGAAATGAAAAATATTTATAGTGCTACTCAGCACCTGTGGGGATAGTGCAAATTTGCCATTGTAGGGCGAAGCCAGTACCAGTAATCCGATTCAGTCAATAGTGCTGACGAGTCCACAATTTATTATTCTATTTAGAGACTGATAAATGAGCGACCAAATCCCCGTCATTGACTCGATGCAGTGATATTGGTGAGCTAATATTCCAGTAAACGAAATCTCATTTTTCCCCCTCGTTTATTGCTGCTGCTAAATATTATATTCTGCACCCACGGAACCAACTACCGTATATATATAGTTACTGTTGCCATATGCAGCCCCCGAGTACACAAGCTAGCAGATGAATTTTATAACTACTAGAGTCGCCTGGTCTGGAATCTGGAATCGTTATTTTTTCTGATGTTATTGGATACGAAATGGACTTACGTATCGTCTTGTTATTAGGTTGTTGCTGTTGAGTGAAAATATCGCCGTTCTTCTCACTACTGGGCCAATTGCTTGGAAATTTTTAGTAATTGAACTTGATTTAAATTAATTAAAAAAGCTAGAAGCCGATGGACCTTTCTCCGACCTTTGACCCCAGTAAAATTCTTCGTATACTTCACCATTGCAAAATTTTCGGGGCTTATTTTGGGAGGGGTTTCGCGAGTTGGTATCTGTTAAATTAGGTATGTGTTTCAAACCATCATTATGATTCATTATGACAGAGTAATCATTGAATGATCTGATTTATATTTAATTTTCCGAAACAAAGTAAACGAATAAAAACGCGAAAACGAGGATGTGTTTACGACCACTCCTGAAAGTGTCTGAGCGGATGCGTAAAGGGAGCATTATGACGTCACTTATTGCATCTTGCTGATTGGCCAATGTCACGAATTAAACAAGGAAGTCGATGCTCGGGAAAAGGTCCGTTACTTCTATTCATTTCAAAAATGTCTGTGTACTGTGTGTGATTCATTTGTGCGATGCCGTTGACGTCATCAAAAGTACATGCCGTCACGTCCCAAAATTGAAGTTGCGTACATTGTGGGGGTTTCGCTTGAGCGTTAACAATCTAGTGGTCAAACAGTACTGGTAGTCTAATGTGATAGATTGCATACCCTTACTTCTTCGTGTTGACTTTCGTGTCCATATATTTGAGCATCGCTCTCTGGTTCTATAAGTTAAAACTAATTTTATATGCATTTTGAACTTTTTGAATAATCAAAATCCTTCTCATCTGCAGTGTCCTGTCCTGCGTTGAATCTATTCGTATATTTCAGTTGCCTTCTGGATCTGGATTGAAAGGTCAAAGAAGAAATTGACAATACGGTGACAGAAATAAATGGCTTGATAGTCCTTCAAAATTATATAAATCAAATATTTTAATTTTTCCTTAATTAACCATGGTTTGTCGTATATCAAAGCCTGCCCCAACAGTGGCATATCTGCGTGAAAGTTTAAAATTCGCCCCCTTGATTTTACTGAAATTTTTAACGACTGTTTGTTGCTTTGGGATACTTTTAAGTTATTACTATAAAGTAAGTTTGTTATCAAAATGAGGTTTGATTGTGCGCTCTTATCCAAATGGCGCCCGTGGCCGGGGGCAGTCACAGTGGCCCTAAGGCCTGAATATGCCACGGAGCCCAGGTATCACCCAGAAATTCACAATTCTTCATTTCGCGCCTGATCATGCCGGAAAGCTTAATATCTCAATATTGCTCTTTTTAAACAATCTGTCCCTGCATTCCCATTAATATATCAAGACGTTATCCATTCATATTTTCTTTTTTGAGGACTAGATGAGTTTTTTGAGTGAGTTCTCCAGATTAGGTTTTTATTATAATCCTTCATTTCGGAGATCGCCCATAAAAATCGGCTTGTTTGAAAAGCTGACCCAGGTAAGCCAAGGCTCTCTATATATTTTTGTCTATTATCCTTCTACTTAAAAAGAATTAATAAAATTATTGAAGAAATATCCGTTTCTCCATGCTTATTGGTTGTCTGCAATTGGGTTTTGTTAAAGGCAAATAAGAAGTAGGATTCAGGAGCATAGGTGTAAGAAGTGTCTCGAAAAACTTCTCTTTGACGGGATTTTGCGTGTTTTACAGTATGAGTGACGTCGCCAGGTTACGACGTCACTGGCGAGCACGATTTTATAGGGCGCGCTGGCGCCGGATCCGGGCCCAAACAAAGCGTTTTTTTATATGTGGCCGACCATGGGCCATAGATAAATCGAGTATAATTGGTAAAATTTCTCCACGATCATGTTTGATCATGCACGATCCGAATGAAAATTACAAAATTCAATATTTTCCAAGGTCTGAACCTTCGATTTCCTTCTTATTTTGGGGTTTCTGTTGTCCACAGCTCGAGTTTCTCCTTCGGTATATGAATCTTCGCGCCGCCCTTCCAGTGACGACACACAATTGACAAGCGGATGTTACATTCGCGGCCCAATCGCGGGATTCAAACTTTAGTCATCGTGAACAAATTTATGGTCTACCCAACGCCTTTACCAACTAGGCCAATTCAGAACTTAAAAAAAGAACTGAGGTCTAATATTCATGTATCATCTCAAAGGACTTGTAAAAAATAATTATAAAAGTCATTTAGGATGATTGATAAATATTAGAACTTAGATCTTTACTCTCGTGTTCTTCCTTGGCCTAGTTGGTGAAGGCGGTTGATATACCTTTAGTTTGTTCATGGTGACCAAAGTTTGAATCCCGCGAACTTACTATCCTGTATCAATCTCGTGTCGTCATTAATCAGATATCTAAAATATGTAAGAAGAAAAAAATAAACGAAAATGGAGAAAATTGAAGGGTCAGACACTCGAAAGGTATATAATAAAAGAAAACGAGAACTCAATGCTGAAATCTATATTCATCATATAACACTCAAAATTATGACTGAAAAAATGCGCTACCTAATCGAATCGAAATAGATTAATATTTATAAAATTGAAGTTCTAGCTTATATATGCATGAAGAATGGGAACTAGTTGACTTAGTTAGATCCAGACCTGCTCAGAAACGACCTCACACTACCACGCCCTGAGCTGAAATGGGGCACGCGCGCCAAATTTTTTCAAAGGTCAAAAGAGAAGAAGAAGAAGGTGTATTACTGTTTCCTGTCATGATTAACCAAAACAAGAAACGATCAAGTAATTAACCGATCCTCGACATGTGAGTGAACCGTATGTAAACACACCAAAAGTAGGCTAAGTAGTACCAAAGGAAATCAGTTAAATATTCAAACTAATACTAACTTCTAATGTCAAATTGTTTGTCCGGCGACTCCAATTAAACGCTTCGCTTTTATTTGGAGAAAGTTCGAATATTAGGAACGATGATCAGGTATACTAGAATTTCCACAATCCAGAGGATGTCCCAGGTCATTTATATTATTACCAACCAATCACGTCCATGCACTGGAACTAATTGATCTTCCAAACTTATTATCATGGACGCTGGACTGCTGAGTGGACAAGAGGCTCTATTCGTCAAAGGATTCAAATATTGCTGCATTTAGATGCATAAATCTTGATTAAATTCAATACTATTCAACTGGCGCAGCGCAGTAAGGACACCTGTGGAAGGAATCTGTGAATTCGTATATATCGAAAATGTTTTTAACCCAAGAAAAAATAGGTAGTATTAGGGCATATATTTGATCCGACCGACCTGCCCACCCACGGAATGCGGCACTTAAAAAATTATGACGTCGGATTCTTTTTTTGTAGATATGCAAATAGAAATGTTTTAATTCATTAATCTAACCTAAAATGTATTTCAATACGATCCTTGATTTTATTGCTTATCGAAGAGTTCATGAACACAAGAAACAGTTAGGTAAAATGACATCAGGTCATTTTCAAAATAGTGCATAGCGCTACAACTAACATCAAGTATACGAATATTGCTCACTGATTTTGGAACAAAAGAGAATTTTTCTGCTTCTTCTCAGCATTAGCAATTGACTTCAAATTATGCAGACAAGTACCCTCGACATTTGATGATCATTGCCACTTGCAACACCACAAACAAATCTGTTTGTTTTTTGCGTTTCTGACGGCGTTTACCCTGTGAATCACCGCCATAATATCGGATGCAACGAATCTCCTCATCCGACTTATTGTTGTACCATCTTATCAAATATTCACTGTGAAGCTTGGTCTCGCCTGAAAATATTGCGACTGAAAAACCTATAATCCCCATAGGATAATATAAAACATTACAACAAATCCAATAAAAACATTCAACCACACCAAAAAGCTTTATTACAAAAATATATATATAAATCTCACTATTAAAAAGTCATTTATTTACAGAATAAACTCAGTACGGCAAGGCCACATTTGAAGTAATATTCTGGTCTAGCATTTTATATACTCAATAAAGGAATTAAATTTTACATTGAAGAAAATTAAGTAAAACATTCCTGATCAATTAGAAAAAATAGTTTTTATTGCGAACTTAACTAAAATGGCACACAATTATAATCTTACAATGAAGATTGAAATAGTTAAACAATCGCACTTGATGGTATTCAATACACGGCTTCCATTTGGTTGTCTGTACGAACCCAGTAAGTAATTTAGTCAACGGACATTTGATAAGTGACCAACAAATAAAGAAATCTGCTTGCGTTTGAGAAAATGGAAATTGATAGGACAGATACTACTATTGCAAAACCAGAACCAGAATAATTTGCCCTGTGTTTTTTGTCTGTGGTTCAATAGCAAGTGTGACAGCTTTGGCAAGGAATTGCATACTTTGCTCCTGCGTGACATATATGACTAAAATTATCATTTATTGAGCGACACATACATACAGTAGTAATAAAACGATTATTAATGGAGAACACGGGTGAACAACGAAAAAAAAACTTATCCAAGAACTGTTTTTTAACAGTTATCAGTCACTGACGCTCATACTTGGTTGATTATAGGGAGCAAATATTACTTGAAAATATTACCCTCACAGTGAATTATATTATCAATATATCTTGAATATGTAGTGTTGAAAAATACAAAAAATGGTGAAATTACATACCAAAATCTTGTGTATTATGATAAAACAATATAGTATTTTTAAGAGAAACATGATAATGATCAAAACAATGTTTAAGTCAATTTTTAACTTCATATAATGGACTTATAACATGATAAATAATTGCGCCCAACTTTCATTTTTTTTACTGGAATAATGATGCTATGCAAGCTGGGAAAGAAATTAAATTCTGTTATACTTTTGGAGCACCCAAACTTTCTACTAAGGAGAAAGAGTTGCCCATTCCATCTGCTTTCAATCCCAAGAACACCCAAATCGCCAGCTATTTGAGGGACCTCCCTGAAGTATGCGCACCAAGATGGCGCACAACCTAAACTCAGGTTGGGGTTCAGGTTGTGCGACATCAGGTGGTGCGCATACTTCAGGAGTACCTATTTGAGAATATTGAGAAATAATAGTTTGCTTCTAATTTGAAAATTTCATAAAACTTCACAAACTATTAAAATAACATCATTGAGGGGTCATGTTAGAATGGACGGATAATAATACAAAAATGGATTACTTGAAGACTAGTGACTAAAAAAGTATATAATGTGCATATTATTTACAGCAGAAATTGAAACTCAGATAATCGTTGGCACAAATAAAAAATTTGAGAAAAAGATATGTTGAACGGATTAGAATTTCATTATATCTAACAGAGTTTTAAAAGATCTCAAAAAACTAGAAATTTGTCATGTGATATAATTTTTCATAATACTTCGATTAAAAATTACAGTTTTCAAAATGAATTTTATACAAAAACACAAACAATAGGCCATTTTTATATATCCATTGGATGTCATATTGGTATTGTCAAAAAAGGTAATGTACATTACACAAGAGTCATTGATTTCAATTCATATACAAATATACATCTTTGTAATTCTCCCGCCATCTTATCTAAGTTGAGATTGAAATCCTGCGTTTTTATTTCTTGCAGATGGACTGTAATACACATTACTTCGATACTTATTCATCTTCCTAAACGCGACGTGAGATTGTATTTTCTTGTTCAATAATCCGTGTTTCATGTTCTTGAGTTCTTGTTCTGCTTCATGTCGTAACTATAAAATATATTATCATCCGTATTTTACTTTTAGAACCAATTTTCTAATGCATATTTTATATATAGCAAATTAATTGAATGATTGTCAAAAATAACCAATATAACTTGGATAGTGTTGTGAGCAAGTTAGCCCCATAGCATTCAGACAGTAGTACAAACCCATTACATTGACGATGTAATAAATTAGAACAGATATTCGAAATCATAGATTGTCAAAACTTATAAGCTTCACATGTCTGAGTCTTTACTTGTCTAGAGTCCTAGTATGAGCCTAATGTCCACTGAAGCTAATGAATTATATTTAGTAATGATAAATAAAACTGATATGACCACGAAATATACCCTCTTGATTTCTAGTCCAGTTTCGTATATAGCAAAGTTATGCTTTGGTATAAATTTAGAAAATTTACCTAAAGAACTAATTTCATTCTATTTTTTTAAATTTTTGAAAAATGTACATTTTAGATGGTCATTTAATGCAAATTTTATGAAAACCAAATTTTTAAAACAAATTTATAAACGTAACATTTTATTCCCATATGTTTGCCAAATCATTTTTTGCCAAAATAAGGCAAAAGAATAAATAAAAAATAAAAATTGTTACCTTGACTTCTCCAGTCAATCTGATTTTTGCATTATTCAATTTTTTCTTCAAATCTTCAATAGATTGCAAAGTTCTTGATGCTTGAATTTTACTGTTGCTCTAAGAGAGTGGAATAACATAAATGAATTATAATGACTGAAAATTCTATTCAAAATATGGCAATTTCTAAATCATGAAAGCAGTAAAAAAACTTTGATTAGGGTTTCTCAAATTGGGGCCTTCTCCAGGTACCATTCAGATGACTAAATTATTTTCAAGTAAATTGATTGCGAATTAATTAATTCTTCGACTGTAATGTCGCTATTAGGATAGAATTTACACATTTATCCTGAGGAAGTGGGAAAGCCGACGGCTTAATCGTATGGCAACCACAGCCTTTTGTCCGGTCACCAGTCAACGTCGGGTATGGGATTAGTTATCCAGTTATTTGTACTAGATCACGAGTCACCAACCTTTAGCATTGAAAGAGCCATTTGGCATCCTTTCCGTCAAACTAAAACTTACTCGGAGCCGCAACATCTAATGTCAGTGACTATTAAAACACTGAGAAAAACCACTTATGATGCAATAATCCAGTTCTTACTAAAAAGAAGCTAAATTGAATATGAATGATACAATAATTCAGTCTATGGCCAAATGAAATGAACTTGTACAATGAAATGAACAAATTTGTTTTGACAGACTTGCATCACTTCAATCCGACCCATTTTTACCGCTCGCGACTTATACTTTAAGAACTGCTATGATGTATAACCTGCTCCAGAGTCACAGGTTGCCGATTGCTGTCCTAGATTCATTGACTTGATGCGAACCAACGCAGGATAAATCAGAAGTGCGATGGCAAGCCTATTGTTCGCTGATATCATCATAACTAATATCATTATGTAAATGAAACAAGCTTCGAAATCAGTACCTTAACCGAAGGTCTCACATCAGCTCTAGGCAATACTGTTGATTTGTCTCTTGAAAGTGTAAGAGTGGCTGCTTGATGTGATGGCCATTTCTTGCGGAAACTGGAAATAGAAACAATAAAAATTGAATCACAATGAAAACTTAATGTTTTTGAGAGTGAAATTTTCAAATTTTCACGAACAAATCAAAAATTTTCAGTCCCGGGTTCAGGTCTAAATTAGTAAGTGGCACATTGTTTATAGCTTTATTCTGTGCAAACACCATAATAAAAACATTTATTTAAAATAAATATCCTACGTGTCATGTTGTTGATGAAGTCTTTCACAAAGATCAGTTAATGTTGCTGTTTTCTTCTTTTCATTATAATAACGTCGTTTCCACAAGTCTCTACCTGTGAAATGTTTGATGATGAAATGAAAATATTGTCAAACAGAGCTGACCTAAGATTGAGTTGGGCACCAGGTATCTTTGAAGACATATCTGCTAAATTTCTGTTTGCCAAAATGGCATATATAATATGAGCAAACCATCCATCAGACATATTCAAAATAGCATTCAATGACCATCAAAGGGCTCTCGAAACTAGATAATATAATTTAAGCACAAATTTGATTACTATGGAACTCGAGACTAAACCTGATCCACCAGAAAGAAGCCTGTGAGATGAAATGACAATAAATATTTTAATCCATGTATTTGGCAAAACTTACTGGTTAGGTCTCTCCATACTCGACTGTAATTAGTAACCAGATTAGAGGCCTTGGTCTGCCATATATTTAAACCATGTTAACTTTCTTTTCTCATCCAGAATACATAAAAATCTAATTTTATATATTTCATAAAATAAATATAAAAAGAACAAAATGGACAAACCAGCTCCTCTTCTATGGTTAATTTGTGCTGAAGTATTTTTTGCTCTTTTCACCAATTCTTGTCTTTGTTTTTCAAAATACGCCCTGTTTTCTTTCATACGTTGTAATTCGTTCCATAATCTTTGCTCTAAAATATTGAAAATAGATTTTGTTTTATAAAGACGTACTAGAAATATAGCCCTATTCTGATATACAGAATCAATGTTCTATAACATTTTTATCTGATGTAAATCATTACAATATCAAGTGTGGTCACACTACATTAAGCGAATACCGCACTGTCACAACTTCAATTTTCGAAAATCTTCAGTTTGATGGAAAATTTGGGTTTGGCCCATACTCACTACCATTTAGGATAGGATTTAGATATTCATCCAGAGGGAGAGGAAAGTCGATAAGAATACTCAATCATATTGTGAATCACAGCCTCTCGTCCGGTTACCAGTCCATGTCGGGTATGGGATTAGTTGGCCAGTTATTTGTTTTCGGAAGCATGGACTTCAAGGATGTCATAGTTTCAGTAGGCTACCAACAGGAATAATGACAGGTATAAGAGATCTAGTACAAATGATTTGCATATGCATCATGGGTACAGGAAAAAAAACTCCATATGGTGCATATGGTTTTTCATAAACAGTTGGAAATGTACAAATGATTTTCTTATGTAACATAGGTGTAGGAAAAGAATTTCATATGGCGGGTGCAAAGTTTTTTCATTAATAACAGTTTGAAAAATTTTATTATATTGAATCGTGTATTACAATGTGTGGGTTGGAAATGTGAAATAAATAAATAGATAAAATTTGAAGAGTAATTTAACCCTTTCCGTGCGGTGGGCACGTATACGAACCAACGAGAAAACTCGCCAGATCGCGGCGGGTACTTCAAGTTACCCATAGTTTCATTTAGCAAACTGTTGGTCTAGTTTTTCCGGGTTTTGTTTATTGATAAGAAGTCTTCTTCGAGATTAACATAAGCGACGGTAAATCTCGCTTTCGTTTACGGCGGGAATTTTATTTGCGGCGGAACGAGGGAGTGATTTTGAAATTTATGCAAATTTCGGTGTTTTTTGCGTGGTAATAGAAGACATATTATTCCTTCCATCTACCAAAGTATTTTGAGTTAGATCACGAAATTGCTACAGCAACATTATGCTATTGTTTGCCAACCACGGTAACAGTAAAGGATTTAGCGAATATTTCTATTTTTTATCACGGTTTGAAGTTTCAACTCACAAGAAAAAAAAAAATGCCCATTTTCTATCCGGTTTGTGACTCAGACCACCACTTTTAAAAAAAACTTTTTTTTAAACGCCTGCAACTGCAAGCTCTTTAAATAAGCTTTCTAACGAGCCGTCAGTGGGCAGCAGAGGATCGTTAGTTTTTCATTAGTCGATCGATTATTTGTGGGGGTACAAATGCATAAAATCGGCGTAGCAAATACGATTATTTAATAAAAAATAAAAATCGCATGGAAAGGGTTAATCAAAAAAGATTCAACATAATTTACTTTGAATAGCAAGATTTCTTTTCTCAGCAGATGAAGTTCTGCTTTCGTGTGTTGAATCCTCGTTTTGAGTTTTTGCAGAATCAGTGAATTCATTTTCTTTTTCATCGAATTGTCTTCGCTGATTGAACGTTTTCATTGGAAATGATTCCTGGCCAGGTCTGTCAGATTCCGAAATACTCTTTGTCGGTTTGTCTTCTTGCAAAAGCTCCAAATTCTGTAAGATAAATGTCATGAGCAAATTAGAAAATGTAAACAGTAAAAAAGAGTACAATGCAACAGTGTGACAAATTGGGTAATGTCAGCTAGGTCCAACCAAAAGAATTTCTGTCATTCAAAATTCAGTAACCTTACCACCTATGGGCCTTGTTTGAACTGTGGGTAGATGACCGAAACGAATCTAGCATTTTATCGCAAATGTGTTACATCAATACATAAAAATTTCAATCCAACTTGAACAAATATCACAGAAATGTCAGAATATTTTTTAAATTTTTTTTATACGACACTCATTTGCGTCTTTCTCTTCGAACAAGGACATGAACAAGCTTTCATTGATATCTATCGATATGTGAGAAGCTACTATTTTTGGAAAGACTGAAATCTGGTTCGAAATTACCGTACCTACCCGATTTATCATACCTGTTGTGAGGGGGTAAACATGGTATTTAAACTAAGATATGCAACCTACGATGCCAATACAGTTAAGTTTGAAGCTTTAACAGCTAGGCCATAACATCCTTATTATATTTTGTAGCAGTATAAAAGAGCTGTCAACCATTCCTGATTTTCTTACCTGGTGATTAGAATCTGAATATTTTGGATGAGAGTGTGGAGTTCCAACTCTGACAGGTTTTTCTGCATTATAGATGGATTCCCCGTCGCGTCTCCTTTCTTCATTAGAAACTTGCATTGGTTCTGTATCTGCGTGCATTGCAAAATGCATCGGCATACCATCCGGATTTCCTCTATTTAGCAGATTTTCTTTATCTGTTGCATTTCCTGTTACAGCTTTTTCTGTGATTTTGTTATTATCCGCACGGCCGTCTGTGGAAGATTTGAGTTTTTCTTCTTGAAAATCATGTGAAGTGCTCACAGGAGGAAACATCTTCATCAAGGGATTCCTTTTTTCTGTATTTTGTTCAGATGCTCCTTCATCTTGAAAATTTTTAGTTCCTGGTTGCAAGACATGGTTCTCTGTATGAGGATTAGATTCGGAAGTATAATAAGAATCCTCCTCTCTATTTCCATTGTGGAGCTGTTGTTGTCGAGCTTGTTCTGGAGATATCACAGGAAAAGCATGGCCTAGCGGATCATGTTGTCCGTTAGCTGAATTATTTGTATCAGGTCCATTCATGTCTCCACCATGAGTATTAACTGAAGGTTGTTTCTGAAGGTCGTTAGATTCAGGATTATTATCATTTGGAGTAAAATGCTGATCATATTCGTGATTCCTTTGTGCCGATTCATGCAAAACATTGGGCCTGTTACCATGACTACCTTCGGACAAATCACCAGGTGATACAGATGCCCCAGCTGCCACAAACCCTGCCTTAGTCGCTATTTTATTGTGCTCCGTATTTCTGACACCATTCTCCTTTGTTTCAGATTCTGCGCCATACAAGTGTTGCTCTTCGAACTGTTTTTTCCTGGTATTTTCAACATGTTGATTCTGATGACCTCCATTTTGTTCGTGTTGGGAATTGGCTGCAATCCTTCCTTCATCATAAAACCTGGTTTGTGAAGTAGTTCTGACTGGTTGGTAATCGTCAAGCAATGATCCGTCATCTGAATCTCTAACAGAATATTGACTGCCGCTACCACTTGCAGCATCACTGTGCCAACCTGGTGATAATCTGTCTCGAGAACTAGAAACATGTAATGGTTTCGCCTCTAAGGTTTTTCGATAACTCATTTTAGAGTCATCATACCTGTTGAATGTAGTTGAATATTTAATTAGTGAAAATACTTGATTATATTAAGACAAGGGAAAATCAAAACTGATATCATTTAAAAAATTAGATGTTATGATTACTTGAACACAATTCCAGTATTTAAATTTTGCATATATCAGGACCGAATTTTCATTTAATTGATGCAAACAAATTGCAATATAGAGTGATTGAATATATGGACACAGACATGGACTATCCTATGGGACTTGTTATCTGATCATTGGAATACTTAAAATTTTAATTCCAAATCCCACTATCTTAGTAATTCACATTCCCACTGAGTTCAGGTTGTGCGCCATTTTGGTGCGCATACTTCAGGAGGTCCCTTAATTGAATAATGCGTTTGCCAAAAAAGATGGACTGGCATGGCGAATGCCATGTGTTGGTGCAATTCGCTCAAAAATGGCAAAATTGAAGGAAATTGAAAAAAAAACTAAAGTAATAGTCTTCTAAAGTCTTTAACTTTTAGTGATGGAAAATTTCAAATTGATTTGCCTAATAAACCGGATCTCAACCAGTGGGCCATGGCCCACTTCTGGCCCACATGAACATTTTCAAGTGGGCCGTGTAGTTATTAAATATTGCTATAGTTACTGATAAATTAGGTAAACTTTGATTGTAGTAGCATAAATGATGATGCTTTTTTTTTATACTGAGTGATAATTCTCATTTCATCAAATATTGAACTGGAAGTGGTTATCTTTGAGAAAATAATAGTTGGTTTTCGCCTTGCATGAGAAAGTTAATGAACCACAGAATTTTTTGAGCAAAAAAACTAGGCCACAAAAGAAAAAAGGCCGAGGATTACTGGTCTAATATGGTAGTTGCCGAGATGAACGAATATGCACAATCACAAGAACAACAATTTTGCAAAATGATCCACTTCAATATGCCCACTTCATGTCTAATAAGTTACTGGAACCTATTACAATACCTGTCATCAGCTACTCCTTTAACAAAACTGCGTCGATCTCTGTCATTTGATGTGTGATGTGAATACTGTTGTTGCAGAGTTTCTGACCTGTTGACAAAATAAAACTTAATCTCAGATTTAAATGTTATGATTAGAAGCATTTAAGATCAAGTTTACACTTCCAAAAACTTATTTCTGTAAATCTTTCTTTTATCAGGCAGACTTTCTTGGATAAATAATATTTACAGAGTACAATAGAACTGTCTAACGTTGTTACAGATATAAATTTATGCATAAATTTAAGCTAAATTTGTTAATTTAATATGAAAATCCAATCATATTAAGAGAAGACACAATTGAATTCTTCTTTAAAATCAAGCCATTGTCCAAATCAATAGGCACAAACAAAAACAGAAACAAAAAACCTTTTAAAATTGATATGGTTTATTTTGTTATCTTCAAAGGAAGCACACAAATAAAAAACGATACCATGTTGAGCTGCTATTTAAATAAAAAAGGCATCTAAATAAAGCCCCACCTGTCTTCAACAAAAGCACCTTCATCTTCGGAATCATGTGACCTATCATTGAATCCAGAATCATGATTCACATATTGAACTTTACGTATTTCGCTTTCATATCCCGGATTGGATTGGTCATCCTCCTCGGGATTAAAGGAGGCTTGAGAATGGTTATGGTAATTTTGTGAAGGATTGGTACTTATTGGATCAGATCTAGTTGGCTCATTCCTATTTGTTTTATAACTACCATTTTGATCTTTACCGGTGTGACCGCCACTCACTGGTTCTGTAAATACACTCGGAGATTTGTTACCATTTTCATCATGGTTGGGAAATTGATGTGGATGTAAATTATCAGCTTTATATTGTGATGGGTGTTCATTAGAATTTTGTGTAGATTGGTAATATTGGTCTGTGATTGGTTGGCCATGTGGATCAGTGGATAATTGGTTGTGTTGATGGTATGGGTTTGAATTTTGTTGAGGATGGTGATAATATTGGTTTTCTTCTGAGTTGTGATTACTATCTTGAATTTGTTGCTCTTTCTGATGAATCATGTTTTGACTTTTGTTATCAGGTGTATGTCGCTCAACAACGATTCCCGAATCTAGAAACAAATCAATCATTAACAAAAGAAAAGTCAAATTGGCAAGCTGTAATTCCTTTTCAGGTCCAGTTCTGGTATGAGGAGAGATCTTATCACCAGACTCATAAACACAATATGGCAAAAGAATCTGCTATCTAAAAATAGCTAAAAATTACAGAAACTATTGAGGAGCGTTGCAATCATACCCCTAGGATTCATAACTAGGGACCTTATGCAATTACAAGCATGATTGGCTATCCTTGGTATATAACTAGAAATTGGTAACCAAAGAAAATGAAACTACATATTTTGTTTTAGTGTAGAAATTGAACAACTTAAACCACTAAATGCCAATGATAACAATAGTTTTATATACCAATTAAATTCACAATAAAGCAATAAAATCAACAACAATGCAACAAATTTCAGATTGTTTTCATTCTAAAATATAAACGGGAGTGAGACTTCTGAATTCTTTTTTTTGTGGTTTCATAAAATTAAGTGTTTGCAGCGTGAGTGAGCTTCTACCATTCTAATTTAGAATATACCAAGTAAATTAAAGAATTTGAAATAATATGCCATCAAGACTAGCGATATTAGAAAAATAATATTATTATTGTTGATCAAAACAATACATGTTGAGAAACCAAGCAAAAACTTTTTTTTCTGTAAAAATTTGTCACTCCTCATTAAAATCCTGATAAATCTTAATCTCAAATAACATTATTTAAACCATATATGTTTTAGAAAATAGTAACATGTAAATCAGTTTGGATTAAAACTTTATTTGAAAAGAGATTCAAGAATATCCGTTAAAAAATAAAAAACTGGCAAAAATATCTGGTAAAATAAAAAACTGGTAAAAATCACTATCTAAGACCTGATTCGTTTTAGTCATTTCTGTTCCCCAAAGGATGAAAATAAAAAGGCTCCAGATTAAACCAGAAAAATTCTAGTAGAACAACGTTCATTTGTATATTGGTGACAATTTTTTTCAATCTATTCATTCAATGATGTTATACCTGGTAGGGGTGTGGCATCATCATCATCAGACATTCTATATCTTCTTTTGGCTAATTCCCCCATGTCATCATCACCTCTAACCTCTTCATAAGACTGGTTTTTGGATGCGGAGACATAATTCGATCCTTTTTCATGAGTACCAACATACTTGGCATTTAGGTTTGGATTGGCGGAAGAATATGCATTGGGAGTATTGGTTCTCGACAAGTTTGGAGGTAAAATATGCTTGTCCGCTACACTTTGACCACTTACGAATCGTTCGCCTAGTGTTTCACTGCCAGCATCATTGTAAAAATGTTTTCCGTCATTTCTGGATTGTAATACAGGCCGTTGTCGCATTCTCAACTCTCTTTGATGTGGGTCATTATTGGACACTCTTGGCTCAGAAAATTGTGAGTGAGAAGAAGTACTCTCTTGACCTGTAGTATTGTACTCATAATTTTTGAGAAGTCTTGTTTCCTTTACAGAACTTTGTCCAGTGTTGTTCTCCAGTGAGGCAAGTTTTGTTTGTGGCAGAGTTTGATGATTGTATGAACTTGGCTGGCTCGGCAGAATAAAAAGTTCAGGCAAAGTATTCTGAAAGATACAGTATGTGTATAAGAGTTAAGCAAGAGTTGGACTCAACCATATTGGTATCATAGGTTAAAAAATCTTCAAATCTCATGTTCACCCGAGATGTGATATTTTGAGTAACGAATGCCGAACCTGGAATAGCCAGACTTTCCAAACTATAGTAGCTGCTTATCTAGCAGTGGCTGCTTGTAAAGAACATTGTTCAGAGTGGAAAGAATATTAAAAGTTGTAGAAAAGCTAACTTGAGCATGTTTTAAAATATGCAAACTACAAACTTCCAGTCATTATAAAATTTACAGTCATCATATATCATATCACATATCGTCATTCTTTAGGACAGGATACTCATATTTTTTCCAGGAAAAAGGAGAACAATAAGAGGGTTTTATTTTACTTTACCTTATTTTATTTACCTTGGGGGTCTTCAGTTTATTTTCACACATACATGCACTATGGTGTTTGGAGGAAGCCATAACTAACCTGTGGTTAGATGACACGCTGGTAAGACCCCCAGGGTATTTGAACCTTCCATGCAGAAGTGCCAACCATTGAGACAGTTGGATAAGGGTTTGACTTTAAATTTATAAAATCGAACACACTAACGATAGAGAATTGACACATTTGATATTATAATGAAAATCCAAATGTAAATATGCATTTCCAAAAATTCCATATAAAAAAATAATTTTATTGAAGATACCATCATGTCTTATTTATCAATTGAACACCGAAGCGGTATTATCAAATCATCAGACAAAGCACACAATCACAGGTAGGTAGGAATGATAGCAAATCAATTTATTTTGACAATATTCGATGAATTGTAAATAAAACACAAGAAGTATGCAAATAAAACATATCAAAATCCATACCTATCCAATCAAAATACACAATCGCCCACTTATAGTTAATTCGGTAAATCAATCATTTAGCAAACAATAAAATACACTGTCTTTTCGTTTAGAGAAACGTTAAATAAATATGGCTTAACGTGATGCAAATAATTTGACGAAGCTATAAGTATTTCATATAGGTGATGAAATTTATGATTCATATTTGTGTTGTATGATTAAACAATTGTCGGATAAAATGATTCTATCATGTTTTTGGATATTTATCTAATAGTAAAATAATCCAAACTTCTGTTCACTTTCAGTAGTTATTTTCGTTTATTAATTAAATACAGATATTTAGATATTTATGGTAACTTTACCAAAATTTGAAATCTAGTACATACAAAAATGCATAATGATTGATATTTCTAGAATTCTAGTTCACCATAGGATAAGATTTGCATACTTATTCCATAAGAGAGGAAGGCCGATAACGCAACATAATCATATGACAAACGACTTGGTCCCATCCGGTTACCAGTCAATGTCAGATGTGGGAACAGTTAACCAGTTATTTATTTCAGATAATCAGGTCCGATAAAGTTTAGAATTTGTAATAATGGAATTCACCTCCAAGTTACGTTATTATAATTTTTATTGAGTTATATAATAAAACATTTGAATCATATACAGGTCTTTTTGAATATTTAAAATACCAGCCTCAAAACACAATTCATAATAGAAAATGAAAATAGATACTAATCGAATACAATTGTAAAAGCACAAGCTATCAAAAATACTGGTAAATTTTGATGTAAATTTTCAAGCATTCACTTACCCTTGGCGGTACAAAATTTTTGGCTTTCAAATGATTCTCTTGTTTGTCATTCACCTATAAAAAGTAAAATTTCGTAGATATAATGTAAAAGTGGTGAAATGTAAAAACTCATAAAATCAGATAGGAGAAAACAAAGCCTGCCATCAAAATTACTGTATATTATAAAATTTCGTATTTCAGACTAAAAGACAGCTTAATTGAGCGAACCATGTCCCAGAAAAAAAGGAGTAATCAGTGCATCTCATAAACAGTTAAGATTGTAAAAGCAGATGAAAATGGCCATTTCACCTGAGGTTTTCTATGCCAAACTCGGCAATGATTAAAGCCTCATTATGATAGTATTTATTCGATACTCATTTTCAAGATAAGAAATTAAGATTGCCGGTAACTTGATTCGATCAGGTTGATATAAAAAAACTATTAACAACAAATTGTAACGTACCAATGCCAAGCATCGTCCAATATGTTTTAAGAAGACATATTTTTCAGGAAATATATGATCACCAATCTGCTCTGAAATTGCAGTTCTCAAAGATGAAATGGTTCGATCTGGATGAACTCTGTGAATAACGAGATACGACATAAAAAAGATATTGAAATTTTTTTTATTGCAATAGGACATAAAGTAGATATTAAATAATAATTTTCTCTTTATTATTGCAATAAGACAGCATTTATTTTTCCTGGCTGTAGAAAAGGATAAATATTTTTCATCGCTTTATCTCAACAAGTTAAAAAATTTTGTTTTATTTATTGTGTTATGTACCGCATGATTTGAAATCGTAGCGGGTGCAGTAACATCATGAGTGTATACTAATAACTAATGAATAAAAGATTGCAGAGTGACTATCAGACGATATGAGACAGAGATATATTTATTTCGTCAACCGGAATACAAGCATTGAATCAATAAAAAAATATATACAATATACACAAAGTAATTTGGCATAGACTAGGGGGAAAGATACGACCATGCGGTCATCAGAGTCAACTCCCTTCCATATGTTACAAAAAAACATTTTTGTAAGGGTACAGTACAATGGTTGAACTAATTACAATAATTAGTTACATCTGGCTACAGGTACAGCATACTTGCATTATATACAAACAGATCCACTAGTGCAAACACATAGATATGGGATAAATAGTTAACGTGACCCCAACTGATAATTACGAAAAGACACAGAAAATTTTCAACAATCTAAGAATAATTGTGATATATAAAAAACTTTTTTACCATTTTACAAGTTTTAAACCGGTATCAATGCCAGTGTTTCTTAACTAGCAAAATACCTTGAATAAAACGTTAACACTAGTTGATATTAATGACGAATAGATAATAGAACTGAAAGTTTGGATTTAAAACTACAAAACATCAAGGTCATTAACTACCTTATAAATCCAGCAGAGAATGTTTCATCAATAACTTTCGGACTTGCATAATTTAATCTTTCAATCCAATGTTCAGGAGGTACGATTGAAATGTGAAGATCAATCAACTGAAAAAATATATCACATAAATAATAACAAACATTACACTTCAGACAAGATACAACTATTAACATACAACATACTTTAAAAATCATTTCATAGTTAACTGATATCTAGCCAAATGGCTATACAGAAATCCCAATAAATGAAAGCATTGTAGATTAAAACAATTAAAAACAGTTCAAAGTCCCTTTTACTTCTAATTATCTACCAACTTAATGCAGCAGATGAATAGCCTTGAAATACTGAAATAAAGCAAAATTTAATGATAACATATCCTACTTCATCTGATGATGGTCTTTTTCTGACTTGATTTTCCATTTTGCAGTTTTGCCAGTCACACCAATAGCGTCAGAGTGTAGAGTCCATTTAATTTTAACTACTGCAAGGCTCAGAGGCTAGAGGACTTGATTATCAACATAAAAAGTCAATTTCATTTCATATCAATATATAATATATCAATATTATACACGAAATTCAGGAAATAAGCCAATGTAATTTTTTATTTCCAGAATTCGGTCACGTTTAATAAATAAATAGATGAATAATTTGCGTAGATGGGTTCAAAAGAAATATCACCGAAAAATTACAGATACTTTCCGAAAATTTAATTATCGTGCAAAATTAATAATTGATCAATCGCACGACGCTCTGAACTCAAAGCTGCATTTGCAGCTCTATTGTTAGATTTGTTATTCCAGTGTGAAACCACACAACTACTCAACCATCACACACGTGACATAGGCTTCACGTAACCATGGCGAGGGTCATAAACTTTGACCTCCTTTTGAGGAGCCAGCACAAGAACAAGAAAATTTGGCGACACCTCAATCTTAAATTAGAATCAGAAGAAATTATTATAATAACAAAGAACGTGGAGAAAAGTTGAATCATAAATCTTTTTTTTATGATGAACAAGAAATTCTCTTGTCTCTAAAGGAACATTCAATAATAACGCATGCTATAAATTGGATGAATTATTTTACGGAAATCGGGTTAAATTTGGTACCAGTAGTTGATAAAATTCTAACAAGGGTCATATCACGTCACCGCATAAGCACAAGTGCCCGCGATAATTCCCAAATAAACGACGCAAATACGATTAATATAACAAACATATGCGCGTCTGTACTCGTAAAGAAATATATAAAGGCATTGTTTGCTGGCGGGAAAACAATGCAACTGAGCACCTTCTCGTATTACTTTGTGATCGATAAATGAAATTTGATTCTGGGATACAGACACGACTCACAACAACGGCTTCATAAATGAGTTATCATTTTAGCTATTACATCACAAGTTAGAACATGTTGTGGAGCATACAAAAAATATGACCCGGCTCATTGCTTTAAGATATTTTATTCGCCAAGTTATAATTATTTTTAATGGTCCTAATCTTAACAGGAGAAAAGTTTAATAATAAAAGACTGGAAAAAAAATGAACAAATTCAGTCAGATTATAAGTTAGCAACTTGCAGTATAAACTTCTTCTTCTTCGCAATTTTCTTTGACATGACTTATTCGACTTTCTCATTTTTCATTATATATTTTTCAGGTAAAGTTTACCTTTTTTAGTATGGTGAAAATAAGTTATGAAAAAATAAAGAATAGTTGATAGAGTACAGTGAATTGTAATAATTGTTCTGTTTTGTATACAATACGATCATAATGAACGGAATAAAAAATATACGTCCACGAAAGCTCCGGCCTCAGCTTTCTCTGCGACATGTGAATTCTCCAGTTTCGCCGCCTCCTGATCAAAATATTGGAATTATTTGCAGTGGAGTTGTACCGAGAGATTTATCGATTCACGGACAGCAGAATATTGATCCCGACGTCATCAACAGAATAGCAAACGAAAAAATTCGAAGTAAGCCTTTTAATGCAGTCAGTAAAACGTGAATAAATTCAAGAAAACGAAAAACAATTATAGATTAACAATTATGCGCTTCAAGAACTTGAAAATGTGTAAACAAATAAAAAAGATGGTGTAGATATTTTTGTCAAGAATTAAATGAAATATCGAAATTTTTACGAATTTTCCGGGAATTAGGAAAAAGTTGCTTTATTGTGGAGTCTTCCTCTGTTGAATAAATGTATTTAATCTTTCATCACGAAGCCTATATATTGCTATGTTTTAGTTGCTGTGAGAAATGAACAAATAAGCCGCACAAGAAAAGGACTTATGGGATATCACAGAGCTGCGAACAGTAATTCACTTCCTCCTATAAAAGGCAAACCATCACGTTTTTCACTGGTGCAGGAAATGCCAAAAATTTACGTTTGTCCAGGTATGTGGTAATTTTGCACATGAGGCAAGGAAAACGGGTCGAACAAAATATATATATATATAATATATTACAATATTAATATTACCATTGTTACGACTGAAGTTATCTCATTGGATGTTTCCTTAACCCCAGAAAAGTTCTCATATAACCTACTGTCGAAATTTCACCGAAAGGTACAAGCTTGATTACTCCAACTATATAAATACTCCCCAGGGACAAAATGACGACAGTTAACTGATTTACATTCAAATTTGAGAAATATCACTAAAAATACCGAATAATCCCCAAAACGAGTCAATATTTGCAATCATGCTTGTAAATCTCCACAGTAGGGGTCGGCAACCCGGCCGGATCTGGCCCGCGGGGTAATATAATCCGGCCCGCAACGCTTCACTGAAATATAGTGATAAAACAGCTGTTTTGACGAATATATTCTTCACGTGACAGAATTTATTGTGAAACTAAATTATATTATAACCTAATAACCTAACAAGTATATGAAATTTACAATTACTGGTTTAATGAGCCTATAACTTAATTAAAAAAAAAAAAAAGTTGATGCTAAGTGCAAAGGGTTTAATAGCGCCGAAAATATTCAAATGGGATTTTTCGAGATGTAGTGCAATGAGGAAATAAATCTATATTCTATTTGAGAGATGTATCACTGCTTGATTTGTATTATAAAAAATATCATCCATTTAGTTTTTAACTTTCTAAAAATATGTGCGGACCGCCAGCGACTTGAGTTGAAACCCTTATTTTTGGCCCGCAAGCGACAAAAGGTTGCCGACCCCTGCTCTACGGCATCGTTGACTTTTGGCTAACTGAACATTGTTACGTAAAATTTTATCAACAAAGAACTCGGTAATTAGAGAAACACTCATACGATGACGAAAATTAATCATTTTTGGGTGGTTCAAAAGTATGTGAACCAAGCTGTCACACAGCCTGAATTCTAACCGGTACACGCATACTGTGTTCAGGTTGTGCGCCATCCTGGTACACATACTTCTGGAGGTCCCATTTTTGAATTAGATATTTATTGCTGATGTCTGCAAACCCCTCAATATACAATATAATAAAAGTAAAATCATTTATTGTAGTTGCAAGATAGTTTTGCTACTCTTATTATATCAGTCACGTTTTTTAAAATTATACGTTCTGTCAATACAGATATAGTGAATGAAACACTTAGGCCGTTTCCATCGAATCCAATCTTTTTTCTTGCAGCTCCCAAATTTATCAGACAAAATCGCCAGTCCAGCAGATGGGAGAAATCACGTCCACAAAAAACGTATTTCCATAGACAGAGAACAGCTCAGTCTCAGCCGAGCAGGTTTGGAGAATTCAAACAGAGCGAAGCTCCATATATACCCATGCCTGTGACTATACCTGTACAACATGGCGTATCTCCAGTTGATGAAAGATACCACGACGCAAGCGAGATAATAGAAAGGACAATTAACGTGACACCGGAAAACGTAATACTAAAAAATGTTAACATATCAAACCGAATTCCTAAAACGGTAAATTTGAATGAAAGTTTCGAAGCTGTTTCAGCTCAATATGGAAAAGATATAGCGCTTAATGTAGCGCTATCGCGGAAACGAGCTGGAAAGAAATGGCAGACGACTCCAGCCAGAAATATAGCAACAACTTCCTCATGTCATCTTCCACTGCGCGAAGTCTATCTCAAACCGGACGCTTCGCAAGACAAGGAATCTTACGCTAGATATCAGCAGGAGAAAATGATACGAATCTGGAATTGGCTAAAGAAATTAAATTATTTAGATGACTCACAATTACTAGAAAATCAGATAAAAGCTGAAAGTATTGGTTAACTATTTTATGCCCGATGTTTTCACAAATACGATTTTGCCGGAGAGATTGATTTTATTTTTAAATCACCAATAAAGATACGAGAAATTATATCCGAGTACTTTGCTACCCATGTTTATTAGGACGAAGAAAGAAAAGAAGCTCGAGATTTCGTGTTTATTCTTTTAATTGTTGTTCAGCACTTGTACAAACCCTTATATTGAAATCAGAATGCACTAGAATGGCCAGCAGAAAGATTAATTGATAGAACTCATCCTGTTCCAGTATGATATTGCCTAGTCTTTCAGACATTTCAGGATATAACCGACTACCTACAGCAGGTAACACCCCATTACAAGCCCTCTCGCATATGCTGGTCTTCCTCACAATTGAAAGTTACGTTCATCGATATATAAGCATCAGCACGGCGTGTTTTTGAAGCCTAATCGACTGCAAAGATCTTAATATGATGGAAATCCTAGTATATTTGAGGTCCTGTGAAACCTACCAAATGTCTCAAGCCAGGTTGAGCCCCAAACAATGCTTTTTTAAATGCAATACTAACATATTTCGAATAACAAATCTGCAAATGCGGTTATCTAAAAACTGGTCTGCTGACGGTCGTTTAATATACCATTGAGTAGTCTTACTTTCTCTTTATACTCTCTATTCATAAGATTATTATTATTTTAATGGTGCTTATAACTGGCTTAGTTTTGTGCAACAGGACTATGATATTACAAGTTGGGTGTTCAAATGCTTCGATCCGTTATGAGTCTGTACGTATTCTATAACAAGAGATATAATTCTGGGATTTGTCGATAGCCTGGCTTATTCCTCAAATCTGCTTGGATCAGTTCATTGAATGTAATTTCAACAAGAAAAAAATAAAATTCAACATTTATATTCACATGTTTGTAAGTACATCCACTTTTTGTATTTATTACTGATTAAAAAAATAATGATAATAATAATATAATAAGATACGGAACTAACTCAATCGCTGTGTGTGCTGCCTAAATAGTTAATGACAACAATTCACTTCTAAATGCTATCAAACACATTATAAATTGAAACAAAAAATTCAGTGAGAGATGTGATTTTTCTTGAATGAAAAATCCTTCCAATTGACAGAGATTTTCTTTCTTCGGACGAAGTTTGTCGAATCCAAGCAAAATCTAAAAATAGGATTAGATATTTCCACTGTCAGCCACTCATTCCCATGAAATTTCCCATTATAAACAAGGCACTGAACAGCAAAGCCTTGAGTAAATTACCTGAACATGTTACCCAACCAGACCCTAAAATTGGTTTTAAACTTGCCGAGAACTATGAATTCCTGGTTTGACATAACCAACCCAATCAATATCTGGGTATGAGGATTGAACCAATATTTTCTAATGCAATGGTTTTCAACCAAAATTCCGAGAGTCCAGTTCAGGGGCTTTGCAAGTTTACATTCAACAGGGGGGTAAATTATTTTATGTATATTGCTTTAATACACTCAAATACTTGGGTACAATCTGAATTGTTTCACTAGTGTTCGGTGAAAAATTTCCACACCAAAACGTTAGCATATTTTATGATATTAATATAATCAAATATACATATAATCAATTGCACAGGATTCCTGGAGCTTCTGGAATGCTGTAATGGGTTCTCGCTCCATAATACAACTTGATTAAGATGGCAGAATGTATCAAGCGAACTATTTTTAAATTTCACTTATTCACCACAGCAGCAGAAAAATAGAATATCAAATTATTCACGATTTGTCAACATTTATTCCCTAAATAGTTACTAAATATATACCATATATTAGTAAAAATTTACCTCTTAAAACTGTCAATTTCTTTTTCGATGTCATCCATTTCATTATTCTCCTGATTGTCACCTTTTGGCATGAAGACTTGATCAACATGAACTACATCGACTGGATCTATCGGTAATGCTCCTGCAGCTTGTTTTGCATTTTTCCTTTAATGATAGAAATATATTGTTCATTGTCATGCTAAGCATGAAAACAAGGAATATCCAATAAAATTAGATTATCTTAAAAATTTCACAAGCATTTGAATGAATTGAATGAGAAATAGAAGAATTCTGAGGTATTCATATCCTGATTCATTGACAAAATATGCTCAAGAAATACTGAACCAGCATAGCTGATAGAATTTGGATAAAAAGAAGATAAGTGTAATATGGTGGAAAAAAAAACTTTTTGTGTTACTTTAAATTACGGCAGGGCCACTATTATAAGGAGTTTTTGCAAGATATCAAACAAAACAACAGTGGAAAAGTTAAAGAAAATCCATACTTCGATGCCTTTCCTTCAGATTTCTGACTTTGTTTTTCTTTTCCACCTTCCGCTTGATATTTAGTGGACTGTTCACTTGATTTTTGCGATGCTGAGTGTTTATTTTTTCCATATTTGTCAGAATATTTTGAAATCTCAGGAGATTGTACAGAATTTACAGTAAGGCGTTGTTTGATATTATTTTCGTTACTATGGTGACCACCAGTTACAGAGTCGTTCAGCTTAGATTTTGTTTTAGTTGAACTGGTTGCGTTATTCTGAAACAAAAACATGTTGCCATATAGGTTTCACTTTTTAATTGAAGTATTAAGCGAATTTTGAAATTAGTACCTGCATAGAAGATCTGACTTGAACAGGAGTTTTCTTCTGAGATTGAGATTCGTTTGAAATATTCTTCATGTCTAAAATATATAAATAATCATTTGAGATGGTTTTCCCATATGGAAATAATCATAACAATGTTTTTGAAGAAGTTTGTTTTATTTTAGTTTGAATGATGAACTCAAGACAGGCATGCATAAACGAGATAAGAGGGCCTAATAAATTTTATTATACGCTAAAGCCTACGCCCTACACAATATAAAAATTGTAATGGAGATCACGGAAAAACTTTGGATAAAAGATTAAAAATTTGAGACGTGAATGAAGTGTAGTAGAATAACCTCCCCATCTCTTCAATTTTTTAGTACTTTTCTAATTAATTAACAGTTGACTAAAACATAGACCTTTTTTTCGATATGATACCAATTACAATGCTAAAATGAGAAACCAAGTTAGTAATTCAAATACCTTTATTAGCATGAATCTGCTGGTTCAAAGGTGAGTTCACAACAGATCTCTGCTCAGTTGTAATAAGTTCATCAGAATTATTCTGCTTTTTACGAGTTTTTCTTTTTTTATTCAAAGCCTGGCAACGAAGGTAAATATTATTTAATTACAAATAAAAAAAATAACAACAAACGTAAATATAAATGAATAAATTTTCTAAAATTTATAAAATAAATTTTCATCATAAATGACCGAAGCGGTTTAATCTAAATTTTCTAAAATTCATAAAATAATTTTTTCTCATTAATGACCGAAGCGGTTTGATTCATTAACGCCCTACACCAGGTATGTGGAGCCTGAGAGATTCCAGTCCTTTCAAAAATAATAGCCCATTATATATCAAAAGCCTGCACAGAACATTGTTCAGAATGAAGGCATGAAAACATGACAAATATAAGATAATGATTTCCAATTTCCACCATATTTAGGTTTATTTTAGTTACATACCTGTTTATTACTTTGAACATTGTCAACAACTGGTGGTTGTACATCGCTGGGTGGACATTTTGTATCTTTACTTCTGGTCAATGCTGCTTTATCCTGTTGCTGCTGTTGTTGTTTTTCAGTTTTGCGCTTGTCTTCTTCTCTGTTCACTTTTTGTTTCGACTTTTTCACATTCTTTTTATTTCCATCATTATGACCATTTCCCATTCTCTCGCCCTCTATGAACGAGAGGATTTCTTCGAGTGAACGTTCATCGTGATGGTGCCCACTGTGGTTTCCTGCATCTTTACCTAAATAAAATTTGTAATATGATGAATTAGGATAAATGATCAGCCATTGTCTGGTCATAATCATGTAAATGAAATTGACATATTTCTATTACATTTCTAGATATAATATATATTCAAAATTTAGATAGTTATATATAAAGCTAATTTCAACAGGAGAAGTTGTGATTCTTTAAAAATATTTTACTAAGCATGTCTTTAGAATTCAATTCAAAAACAGTCAAAAAATGGTTTTATTGAAAAAAAAATTTGTTTTTAAAAAACCAATATGACTATTATGAGAACACCATTCTTAACAAATAGAATATGTTGGAAATGGCTTGGGGGGCCCGCCTGTTGCACGAGCCTGCTATACTGAAACAGATTCCATATTCGGGATTATTTTTTAGAATGTAACCAAACAGTGCATGCCTTATCATGGATAACAAAAATACGCAACAGGAGTAAAAAATGTTATGGCTTACTTTCACCCCTCGGTTTCTTGTTCAATTTTGATCGAAGTCTTTCTCTCATCTCAGGATAATTTTTACTTGTCGGAGCAAGGGGTGGTCCTCCGTTACCAAAAAATTCACAGTAGCAACAATCGCAATATTTACTTCCTCCGCCTGAATTCCCATTCTGACCGTTACTCGCTAGAAAATAAAGAATAAAACAATATGAATGTATGAAGACTGACTATTATTTCAGTCAACTATCATTTCAAGTTATGAAAAAAAAAATTCGATTCAAATTAAAATTTGGGTTATTCTGAAAATGTGTTTTAAGAATTCACATTTCATAACACAAAGATACTTATAAAACTTAAAAATATATTATGAAGTCACTTAGTTCTCATTCTACAAAATGGCTACAAAATTTTCAATATACATTCGTAAAGTCCAGTTACAATTTCAATTTTGTTATGAAGTTCGGTTCTCAATTAATTTTAAGCAGGTTTTTTTGATTTTTTTGTTTCATTTAATACACCTGTGGGTACCAACAAATTGAATATAGTATCGATGAATTCCATTTGCAATTTGAAAAAAAATTTAGACTTTATGAACACCCTATAAAACTTAAAAGAAGCCATTTCACTCTTTTACATTTTGACGCTTTGATAACATTCTTTTTATCTATTCCTTTTTCAGGGTAATTCAAGGATTATTATATCCCAAAATTTCAGGCTTACCTGCATCAGAACTGCATTCCTCTTGATTACAGCAAGCTGTCGGCTCCCCAGATCCTGTATTTTGGTGGTTGTGCGAATGGTTGTGTTTCACTTTAGGAGTTCCACCAGAATTTACATGAGTATGCTGTTCCGAACATGCTGGTGGAGCTGATGATGCAGAACAAGCAGCGGAAGTTTGTGACGAAGCAGCATTTTCCGTAGTCGAAATATGCCGCAGGTCGGTATCTCCCGTTGCTGTATTCATGGTATGATGTTGTGCTGTACAGCCTTCATGGTGTTCATGTGGTATAGATCCTGCCTTCACAGGTTGCTTTGCAATATTATCTTGTGGTGATGTTTCAAACTTGAAATTTTTCGTGAGTTGAGGTGGTACTTTGTCATTCGCCTGAACAAGAGAATGATTTTAGTACATAATAAAATCCTATATTCACCAATCACCATAAAAGATTTCTATGTGTGTTTTGATTTGACTGTTTTCAAGTTTAGTGTTTTCAAACGTGTTATGCATCACCATAATTCTATATAAATCCATCTCTCCTTAGCACTTTTTCGTGACCGAAGGTCACTTTTCTCAAGAACAAGGCTCTTCGATTTTTGAGCATGAATGAGCTTGCTTTGAGCATTTTTTGTTTCTAAAACGGGATCAATGCATTTCATACACAATTTCACATCAATAATGAATCCATAGTTCAGAAGTGAATCACTGTGCAATTGAATAAGTTAACTTCCATATATGCCCCGGGTCATCTCGTATAAGTTCCACCATGAACTGTATTTCAAAATAAACTATAAATTTCATTTCAAATGCTTAATCAAAACTTCAGCAGTACCATAGGCATAATAGAGCTAACATATTTTTTCTAATACCTGATACATAATCTAACCTATCTAACATTTTAGGTCTAGTCTATAAATGTCTTACCATTGTTTGAGCATCGTTATTCAATTCGAATCGTGGCAAAGAAGAACTCATAGTTGGCAACAGTGTTGGAGTTGAACTCTGTTGAGAAGCCGGCTTTTTTTGCATTTGTTGTCGAGCTAATTTCCCATGTGGAACCAACTTTTTACGATGTGTCTGATTACTTGCTGTGGTTACCGGAGAAGTAGTAGTAATTGTATTTTCAGACACTGTAACACTGCTGGGTGATTGGCATTGCGCTGAAAGGTATATAGAAAATATATATTTTCACAAATCCAAGGTTTCTAGCATATGATGCTGACATAGTTTTGCAAAAACGCTAGACTAAATAAACTTTCACCGAACAAAATCACAATTATATTCTTACCATTAAACTGAGATGTTGCATTAGAAGTAAACTGTTGTCTTTGTTGTTGGACAGTGGAAATGACGGGACTGCCACAAGCTGGTAGTTGGAGAGGTAAGCCTTGAGAATAGTTGCCATTAGAAGTTGGATCCAGGGCTGAATATAATAAAGCATCACATTATTAAACAATAACTGATTATACATTCAATTGCAGGTTGTTAAATCTGGTACTGATATCAGATGAATTATAGTCAAGAAAATTTGATACAGTCAATTGCAGGTTGGTAAATATGGTACTGGTACCAGATAAACAATGACAAAGGAAAGGTTGATTCAGTCAATTGCAGGTTGGTAAATATGGTACAGGTACCAAATGAATTATGGTCGAGGAAAGTTTGTTTTGGTCAATTGAAGGTTGGTAAAGATGGTACTGGTACAGGATGAATTATAGTCAATGAAAATTTGGTTCAGTCAATTATAGATTAGTAAACCTGGTCAGGTACCAGATGTCAATGGAAATTCGACTCGTCAATTGCAGTTTGGTAAATCTGGTACTGGTTTCAGATACATAAACTATGGCAAAGGAAAGGTTGGTTCAGTCAATTGCAGGTTGATAAATCTGGTACTGGTATCAGATGAAATATGGTCGGGGAGATTTGGATCAGTCAATTGCAGGTTGGTAAATATGGTACTGATACCAGATAAACAATGGCAAAGGGAAGGTTGGTTCAGTTAATTGAAGTTTGGTGAATGTGTTACAGGTACCAGATGAATTATGGTGAAGAAAAGATTAGTTGAGTCAATTGCACATTGGTAAATGTGGTACAGGTACCAGTTGAGTTATGGTTAAGAAAGGATTAGTTCAGTCAATTGCACATTGATAAATATGGTACAGGTACCAGATGAAGGAAACTTAAGGTAGTTTTTGGGATTGCAGGTTGGGAATCTGGTTCTGGTGTGAGATTGTGGTCAAGGAAAGTTTGGTTCAGTCAATTTTAGGTTAGTGAATATGGTACTGACACTAGACGGATTATGGGCAAGGAATGGGCTGGATACATCAATTGCAGGTTGATAAATCTGGTACAGGTACCAGATTAATTATGGGCAAAGAAAAGTTTGTTCAGTAAGTTGCAGATTGGTAAATGGGATACTGATACCAAGTCAATCACAGTGAGGAAAAGGCAATTTATGCTGGTAAACCAGGTAAAAGCAGGTTCAAATGAAAATCAAATCCTTATTGGGTTATTTTGTGTGATTAATATAGACTAGATATTTTTTCACATCAGTTCAATAAACACCTACTTGTAGCAGTCCCTGGGATCGAGAAATTATTCCCAGCAGCGAAAAATTGTGGTTGCAAAAGTCTAGGACAATCTTGAAAGTGACCAGGAGAGGTTTGCGGAATTCCTGGTATTGATGGTGGTTGTAATGAAAGAGAGTTGGCATCGACTCCTTGCGAAAATTTTGGGAAAGGAAAAGCGTATTGTAGAGAAGCACAAGTCATGACAGGAACAAGTGGCGGATGGTGATGGACGGAATTTATGTTGCTTGCAGTTCCAATAGATGAATAAGTAGGGTTATCACTTTTTTCCATGCAGCTGCAAGAATTGAAGTAGCTGCGTTTAAATGTAATAAATTTAATACCTAAAGCAATGTAAACTAAAAAAGGAGCTGTGTATAAAAACTTCCTCAAAGTTGGGTCGTCACAACTCACAAGACTAAAACACAAGTTTCCAGAGATAAGAATTCGAAACTGTTAGCTACATCTGAGTCTAAACTATTTAAACTTAACTTTTATCTATTTTTCTGCAAGTAACAAATACTTGAATTTAGTAAAACGTATGTATATGTTATATGTATGCACTATTTCATTGGTGTTCATTAAATTTACTAGAGTACATCAACTCATCAATAAATACATACCTTGATTGATCAGTGTTGCCTTCTGGTGTGGGATCAACAGAATGTCCATAATTTCCTAAAAAATACATTTTATTACGAATTCGATCAATTTAACCTATTAAAATTAAGATAAGATAAGACTTTTTATATTCATTCCAAAGAAGAAGAAAGGAGATAAGACAGCTTAATCATATGGCAAACCATAGCATCTCGTCAGGTTATTTGGCAGTTGCATTAAATAATCGTTTCAGATGCATGAATTTGATTCTAAAATAATTTGGAAAGATAATATATGATAATGATAGATAAGATAAATAATGAAATCAGATTTATATCATGAATCATAGAACATGGCTTTCTAAAGTACTCAAATGTTGCAAACCCCTGATTTGGACATTGTTCTTGGGTGTAGAAGTCAAAGTTTACTTTTGCATACTTACCGATTCCTGCATGTAAAAAATTCCATTGCTGAGTATTTTTATTGTTTAACGGAGATTCTTGGATGACAGGTGCATACAGATGTTGCTGTTGCTGTACAAGACCATGGCGCTGAGGCTAAAAGCAAACAGCATACTTAATGAACATGTGTTTAATTTACGATAACACTTAATGCGAGTCAACCTAACAAACTGTAAATAAATTTGAATGATTACTCAGCACTGGATTTTAAAAAAAACAGGCTGATGTCTTGTATGAGAAAATTGTACAAACGAACCACCAAATTATCCATGGTTCAGACTTTGAAATCTGACCATTCACCTGAGGTTTTATAGCTATCACAACACACAGACAAACCAATTCAATTTATCAACAAGCAATATGTCTCAGCTGGTTTTAAAACTCCTAATTGAATCAAAATACACAATTTCAAAAAAAATTTTGTATCCATATGATCCATATTACTATGTCAGTATATAGTATAAAAAAAATACAAATATGCTTCAAGTGAAAGTTCTAAAAGATTATACTCAAATTTTTGCATACCAATTGATAAATAGGAAACTTACATTAGTTAATGTAAATGTCGTTTGGCTCAGTGTTGCAAAATTAGTGCAAAATCCTGCCCCAACACCAGCACCATCACATGAATATGGAACATGTTCTGAACTTAGATGAAGAGATTTAGGAAAAGATGAAGAACATTGACTACAACTACATCTCGTCACTCTTCCCTCCTCATCCTCATCATCTGCTTCTCCTCCATCTCTCTCTTCTTCATCTTCGATCTCACTATTGGCTCCCACTCTTCTTGAGATTCCATTTTCAAGTACTCCATGTCTCGCCTAAAAGAAAGCAGATTGTCATTTTGAACTGTGCATTACAGTAAAAAAAAATCAGTCTTTTTAGCCTGAGAAGTCCAGCCATGTTGAATACAAGCTAAAAAATTGTATCGAAAATAAGCAAGCTGAGTAAAACTTCCCACCATAATTAGTCGTTTTGCATGTTGACGGTGGATTAACATAGAATACATGCAATAAAAAAATTCTATATTGCAAAACATTACAAATAAGTAGGAATGACTATGGTTAACTGATTAATCAGTTCACCATCATTAGATGGTTGAACTGTTACAAAAAATTTTGCCTGGTAAATATCATCCAAGATACCCTTTTCTAATGTAGATTTAACTGATAGAAATGAATTCAACATATTTATCTTTCATAATTTCAAATTCAAGTAGGAGTGACCGAGCACAACAACTAGTTAATTTTGATTCTCATACAATTCCGAGCAACACAAGGGCACATTTACGTGAAAAAAGTCGCAACATAACAAGCCTAATGTGAAATTGTCGTACTCGTATAAAGACGACTTCGTATTATAATACTCTTTGACATCAATGGTGGTTAACAGATTAACCAATTACGTAGTTCTGTCTGGTAAGAGTGAAGCGTTTCCATTGTAACTACCGGCCTTACAAATGCGTAAAATATGGTTTGTCATGATATAAAAAAAGTGCCGAAATAATGAAACTAATACAAGACATATAGGTAGCAAAAATAAACAAACCTGCAGCATAGGACCAGTGATAAGCGGAGAAGCGCTGAGGGTTGTTGGTATTGTATACGGAATATCACATTGATATCTTGGTAAATGAGATGAAGATTCGAGGGTTTCAGACATTACATTCCCTCCTACAATACCTCCTGTTTCATCACTGAAAATAATAATATAACACAGAGGTCAAAAAATAAGTGCAAACTTTTTGTTAAAATAGTATGAACGAATCTATCAATTGAATGATGTTGAAAATGAAAATGAAAATTCCTACATGCAATCTACTTAATATGTTATACTTCTGCATTTAAACAATCTTACTATGTACAACTATTTTGTAAGAAAATTTGATCCAGACATAAACCACCAAGACTGTGAACATGCAAGAGCTTAAAACCAACGGATTGTCGACGTAAAAACGAAGGGACATGTTCCGAAGGTTCAAAAGAACACAGTCCATTACTACCTACCAATAAATCGGTGGAATTCTTCCATAAATACGTCGATTTAGATATTTCGGTTCCACTTCCTCGTCACTTGAAACCATTGAATCATCGGATGGAACACTTGGTGGATTAATCTTAATATCGTAGACTGATGGAATACCAGGATTCATACCGGGAGCAATGTCTAAAGTCTCTCCATTCTGACAAACTTCCACTGCAGTAATAAAGCAAAGGTAAAAATTCACATAAGGTACATGCAGTACTTCTGCCAAAATGAGAAGTGGAAGGATATTCACGGGCCGAGAAAAGGGTGTGTCCGCAAGGGGCAGATACCGGTAACAATAAGTATAAATAGGCTACCGTTATTATTAAATTGTTACAAATAAATGTGCTTAAACTGTGATAACGACGTAACAAATGGCAGTACTTATAACATAAAATATAAAAACATAAGTATTTCACTTATGTTCAGTTGGCCATTTCAAATCGCTACACAGGCCGGGGGCCTGTAGGCCGTGGTTTGGGAACCACTGTTTTAGAATTATCAGAATTGGTCCTGATTCTACATTACCCACCCAAATTATTACACACTAGGTGAGGTAAGCACAACCGACGTATTTACAGATCGTTGCCACTAATCAGGCTTTGCACAAGCAGACAATAAAATATACTCTATTTTAGGAGGACCAGAATCTTTTCGGTTTGACATTATCTATCTAAATCATTACACCCCGAATGAGATGGCGGTAATTGAATTAGTATACAAGATTTTAACAAAATCTTTTTTGTCATAACATGGCATTTGAATGATAAAAATGATAATTTTCTAATATAACTATTCCAAATTATTCTTGAAATTAAGATTGTAAAGACATTCTTAATATATTTAATATGGCATCACAAAATCTCAATACTGATCATTGAACTTGAAAAATGATGCAAAAAATCGCAATTACCTAGTGAGTTGAAATAACAGGATCCATAAGAATCAGGAAATGAAGGAAAACTTGGTATGGACAGAAATGGTGCAAGATTTGATAAAACAGGATTGTTCTGAAATAAAAAATAATATTAGTCCATACTTCATCAATGCATTTGAACGAACAGTGGACAAAAAAAATTGATTGGACGGTCACTTTACAGGTTGACACAAGACAAAAATTAATCGACTCACTATTACCAAGAAAACATAAGTGATTGTAAATTCTTCATAACTTGAATTCTGAGTAAATATGTTTAGAGTAAAAATTTCTCTGTCTAACACTATTGCTCTTGAGTGGTGCACACCATATATGTTCACACCCTTTAAACCTGACCATTCCCCGATTTATAGTATGTGGTATCATTATTCAATAGTGTTGTATTTACATCCAAATTCTTAATTTTATTACTATATTCACATGCAGTGTGTTTCATGTTGTGTTGCGTCTCTATTTATAGATGTTGTTTTGTCTTACAAACTCCTTTGTATACAGTTTCGTATACTCCACTCTTACCTCTGTTACCAGACCCACCCACCCTCCTTGCACACATGTCTGTATAAAGGACCATATTATACGTATTTGACTTACCGTATTATAATCCCGTCTTCAGTATTTATAATTACTAATTTTTTTATATTGCTTTTACGAGATGAATAAACATACATACATACAGCCACATTCATTAAAAGCCAAAGTGTGTATGTGTACTATACTATCAATGTGTAAAATGGGCACTGTTTGTTGGTGAGAAAAATGTGTGCTTAAATGGCGCAAAAATAATAATATTTTTCATTAAAAGTTTTACATAAGGAACTACTGCCAACAAAGTTCATACGAGAGCACCCGCTAAATTTAAGCATATATGTGTGCTATCAATGTATGTAAATAAGGTATGTGTGTGTGTGCGACACAAGTGTGGATAAAAGATATTTTTCTGTGAAAGTTCAACTCAGCTATGCTCTGCAGCCAAAAAAACTGTCACTACCCTAACACTGGGAAAGAGAATAAATGATAGATGCTCACAGATGCTAGGACATACAACAAGAACACATAGGAATCCATATCAACGACCTGTCATCCGGTTACCAGAGTGTGTCGGGCGCCGAACTGGTGAACCTGGTACTCATGTGATTTACATGAACTTAAACCTATTGATGACAGCAATAAGACGAACATACCTGCATCGGAGGATGTTGTCTTAAACATTCAGACATAGCGACAACAACAGAACGATCGACATGATGTAGATATCGATATTTACTCATCACAAGCGAATGTTTTTTTGAGTGATCATTAATGCGGGAGAGTGTACTTTTCCATTCAACTTGCAGTTGCATCATTTCATCACCAAAATGTAAAAACCTGTCGAATAAAGAATTAGAAAATGAACCAGAGAACAACTATGTTTTGAAATGTTTAGTTCAAGTAAAATTTCTGATTATAATAAAAAGATCAAGATACATTGACTTCACTCGGAGGTAAATGAGGGGTAAATTTACCATATATCCTCGCATATAAACCGAGTTTAAAACTCAAAACAAAAGTTGCCAAACTAAGGGCTTATGTAAGCGCATAACTCTAATCGCACTCAAACGAAATGACATTATTGCTAACTTAATGCCGTATGGCGTGTTACAATTTGTAGGGTCGGCTTATATGCAAATTTTTATACAATCACTGTTTCAGGTCGTTTTAGGCGGTCGGCTTATATGTGGGAATGTACAATACCATTCCTCACCAGTCACATATAAGAATACTTAATCCCGGGGTTTGAGGAGGGGGGGGGATGTTCGGCTTCACTTGGAGGTAATTGGGGGGGGTAAATTTATCATATGGGAGTTAATTTTGCAAGAAATAATATCAATCATACATCTTTCTACTACACGAATAGACGTTTGGTTTCATTTTAGTATATTAGTACCAGGGTCAGGAAAAATAAGTTAGGGGGGGTGTAAATTTTGAAATTTATCCAATTTATCAATGGGTAAATGAGAAAAGAAAAATTGTAAACCTGTCACTTAATCAGTTCCGGGTTTCAGATACATAAAAAACACTCGCCGAATTTAGAGATTATCTTGTACATTATCTTTAAGGACATTAAACCTGATTTCTTTCAAGAGGAAATTCAACTGTTTAATAATGCTAGGTAAGTGAGAAACAAGACAATATTCAATAGTCTGATATGAATGAGTTTATGATTCATGTAGTCAAATAGTAGAATAGATTGAACATAATATGTAACGCTATGCAGAACAATGAGGCTGATTAAAACATTCATGACCAGACTGACTTGCAAAGTTGAATATGTATTGCCAAGTTTTTTAAATAAAAAAAATTACAACCCCTTTTTCTCACACAGTTAACATACCCTGAATTAAGTGAGGAGAAAGATATACAAAACTACAATAAGTGACCCAAAAGTGGATTTTGTACCAGGCTGTATAAACGAATTACGAAATTTTTGGATAAGATACTAGTATAAATCTTGAAACTGACTAAACAACAAGCCATTTTATTGGGCTAAGAAGTCGCTGCTCCAGAAGTGTGTGTACCAATATGGAGGTAACTAATTTTGTTCGCCTACTTTACATCAGGTTGTGTAAATGGACTGCTTATAAATGGGCAGGGGGTAATAAAACTGAAATGAGGAAATTCGGAATGGAATTGTGGCCTAACCCTAACCTGGTACTCACACTACAGCATCAAAAAGTCAGCCTACAGATCGTTTTGCTAAATTGTTATTGATATTGTTCAGATTGTATTTTCTTCCAGCATTCAAAAATTTAAAGTGCCTTCCACAAAGGTGTTAATTATATTTTTTTTGTTGAAACGTTTTTTGGACTCTGTGATGTCCGTTGCTTTCCCTGACAGATTTTGACAAGCATACACTCGACTCAGCAAATGGCGTATGTTCATGCATGATGACAGTACCAGTAACCTTTGTTACCAGTTATCACATCTCTGTGAGTTGCAATTTTCTGCTTAAATTTATAAAAAATTTCCCTCAAAACCAACAATTTTTTGACATACCGGTATATTAGATTGTTGAAATAACCAAATTCTCAACTCATTAAATTTTATTCTCGAAATTGGTTAAAGTTTTAAAATACATGTCGTAATTGCATAATTAAGTTAGGTTACGAAAAACATATTATACAACGTAAAAATTTTTTATTTCCGAATGAAACTTTCCCAAACATAGACAATTTAAAATATTGATCATTATTAATAGTCTAATAATATATTGTTTGTAGTTTAGTAGCAGGAAATATAGCATGTGGCATCATGCATCAAATTTAATAATAATTATATACGATAATATAAAATAATTCCACCCACTCACAGATTCAACTAACTTCGATTCAACAACAATTCATTATCATTACCGTATAATATATGATGATAGAATTATATTACAGAATAACCTTGTTTCAACAAGGCTCTATAAGCAGTCACGGTTAGTGACATTGTCTGGAAAACTACAATCCACTTTGACATTAATAAGATAACCCAGTTAATTAAATTCTTGCTAATGTAATGGACATAAGATTTGAATCTGAGATGTTTATGACACCGACATAATTCGTTCAATGCTCTAACCCCAAGGCCATTGTGTCCACTTAACTGTCTTTGACGTGAGCGTATTCCAGGAGTGTGCAATATTTTTTGTTGGTGGGTCATATAACCAACTTTAGTCATCTAGTCGGGTCACACATAAAATATTTAGCGGGAAAGTCAAAAGAAGAAAAGCAACTATCACTTAGCCTTACAGTACCGGGTAAAAGGGCGAAAGATTTAACGCAGCGACAAGAGCAAATAAAACAAAGTATTTTTATCCATGTGAGCGCCTTTTAAACAAAAACTGTCAGATTAGAATTTCATGATTGTTGAAGAAAAATCTGAGTGTGGACAAGGGCCACACTGGATGGCTTGGCGTGCCGGGTTGTGGCGCGCCTTTTGCACATCCCTGACATATTCTCATCATTAAGATTGTGAATTAGTAATTGACAAAATATATATTGATTGCCTTATTATGATATGTAAATAATTTATCTTCAATGAAATGTTGTGAAATTGTCAGAAAAAATACTATTTGATATTTTAATGAATTCAGTATTACTTAGTGATAATACAAGACTGATCCCAGCAGGTTTTTTCTTGTAAAGTGAACATTTTTGTATATAATTTTCTAACATGTGCAATCAGATGCTTCAGAATTCAGATGCAATAAAGAATCACTTGGATACTTTTGAGATATCTGAATAACTTGTTACTCAATTCTATATATAATTCTAAACCCAAAATATATTAACAACCATCCTACCAAAAGGTATGATTAAAGATAGTAGGTTGAGGTGAATCAGGAAGATTATATATGCTAAGTTACAAAAACTATGTCCTGTAACTAATTAACCATTACATTAAAATGTCTAGTTAATGGTATTTACTCTGGGTGAAACCCCATAATTCTTTGTTAAAAATTATCCCTCTTATTGTTTGGACTTTGTTCTGAACGAGCATTTATACAGACATATAATAAAACTTAGATATTGTGAATAGTACCGTCAGGCTGGACCGCGTCTAATTGCTTGGAAATTTTTGGTGGTTAAGGATTGTATTTTTCACGAGTAAGCTATTACTTTTTTTTATATTCAAAACTTTGTGTGGGCTCTATGCTATTTGATTGAACTGCTAATAAAAAAATGATTTGATTGCATGATATTGCTGTAAAGTGCTGGGTATGGCGGACTGTTGTGATAAATGTGATGTTGCAGGCTAAAACTGGGACTAAGTTATACAAAAAGCTAGTTTATTCTATCCAAATTTAATCCAATTATCAACAACCAATTAACAATTAACAAGCTGGAGCAGTCTTTTTGTTCTACAATTCTCAATACCAAACTGACAGTTATAAAAACAAGGTGAATAAAGGAAATAGAATCTGATCATATTTTTTCATGGTCAGGATAAATAACGATCATGGCAAATAGTTACAGCAAGCATATGAAGTCAGATTGATCGAAAAACTGTAAACTGTTTTTCAAAAACTTTTCCACATATAACTCTAGACAGACAGAGCAAATGATAATATTTTACACCATATCCAACAAAAAAAAGAGAATAGTAATGAAGTTTCAATACCCGAAAAGCACAAAAATAATCTCAAGAAATACTGACAAGAGAGCAACGCTCAAACATACTCCATGGAGTTTGTGTATAACCATATTCATATACCATTCATTGAAAAGTAATTCACCTAATTTGATGGACAGAAGCCTTATGTTTTATCGTATTTATCAAGACAAGAATTCTGTGTAAAAACCAGCCCCAGGGAGTTTGAGGCATAATTTTGAAAACATTAAAATAAGAGCTGTGTATGAGACATTATCACTACAGAAAAGTTGAAAGCAATTGTTCCTGTAATTAAGAAAAAAGGAATTTTTCAAATTCATTCCAATTCCTAAAATTTATTTTTATCATAAAATGACCAAAAAATGAAAATGAGCAAAAAAAATAACAACTCAACTTTTTAATCAAAAAAAAAATCTATACAAACCTGTGTAAAATATCACTAAAATTTGCATCGCTTGAATCTTTAGTTATTCCCTTTCTCAGTTGTACAAGTAGTTCAGGAAGTGCATGATGTACGAGAGGTTCGGCACAAACGATATGTTGAAACAGGCATTTAGTCCATTTCACAAGCGATGTTCCCAACTTTGCCAAGTGGAGAGAATCCTTTAAATAATATGATTCAGGTATTAAGGTGAACTTTAATATTTTTTTTATTTTTAATAGTATCTTAAAGAGCAGACAGGGTTTTATGAGAAAACTTGCAGCAGCGCTACTGTTTATGCTGTGGCTGCATCTCAAAGCTTTATTTTATTAAATTGAAGCTGGGCTCCAGTTCCGGTCCTACAGCCAATATTGTATTTTGGTTATGATCGCTGCAATTATAAAAAATTGGCCCAAATGCAGTTTTATGGCAAAAAGACTCAAACACCATGAGACAAAAATTTCTAATTCAAAAATTTAATCTTCAATTTTTAATTTTTTAAATTAACTTGAAACTATTAGTTGTATTAAATGTTGGAAAATTATAAATGTCAAAAAACAGAGCTGTAGCCTCTAAAACAGTGATTCTTAAACTTTTTCGAGCGCGACCCAAATCTGAGTTTTATGAATACTCGCGACCCAATCCTAAATAACGCAAAATGAGTTTTTAATGTTAGTACAGTTTGACTCAAATACTTTGACTCAAATACAGGCAACTATTTATTAGAAACAGTTCATTGACTCAGTGAGATTGATGAAACTGAAATTTCCTTTTCATTATATCTTCAATACACTGCTCTATTTTCCTTAACGCAATACGCAAGTTGTCACAGGTATCGAGGCGATTGCGAGCTTAGTTTTGATAACCGTCAGTGCCAAATATTCTCGCTCGCACAAGTGCCTTGTCGCGAATTGTAGCAGAAAAGGCGTCCGCTGTCCGTCGCAAACACGACATCCTAGCTGGCCTTCGGTATCTCTCGCAATATACAACTTTTTACTCATCAAATGTGCACACACTGCTTCGTTCGCGGTAAATGGTGCCTCGAGATAAAGTCTCATTTTCTCTAGATATTGAATAATCTAATGTCGAAAAGCGAGCTTTTTCATTGCGTCGTCTATTACAATTTACATTACCAAAAAGACACCCATTTTTGGTTATTTTAATCCACTAAGACGACATTCCACGCGGTCAACGCAACGACAAGCGACGTGCATGGTTACCGATACCATAAAAATAATACACGTGACTGGCATATCAGAATTGTGATGTAACAATGAGCTCAAGACAGTTCTTTCCGTGAATGAAATTTTATATTTCATTATTCTTAAATACCAGAGTTTAGAAGCTAAATTGAAACATTGGGAAAGCTGAAAATTCGTCCTTCTCCTCTTAGATTGCCCTTGCATTGACGACCTTGTCGCGACCCATTTTTAAACCTTCCGCGACCCATATTTGGGTCGCGACCCATACTTTAAGAACCACTGCTCTAAAAGCATGCCATGTGTCAGAAGTATTTGAATTTGAATTATTGTATCAGAACCCAAAACTTTTTGTGTGACCGATTTACCATTAAATAAAATTACCATATCTTTTACTAGATTTGATAAGGTTCCAGCAACTTCCAAAATATCTGCATACATATTCAACAATGTATTAGCAACATCCAATGCAGATAATGGATTTTCATATCCTTGTGCAAGTAGTTTCAGGAGTTGAACCTAGAAAAAGTAGGATAAAAATTTGCATATTTCATCGTAAATTGAATTCAAATGTTGACTCAATACCAGATCTGTGAACAACATCTAACAGACAAACAAACACCTATCAACATACTTACTGATTAAAATCGATAAGTAATGATTTAGGAATAGAAAAAAAAACTGTAGTAAACATAAAAAGTAAGGCACACCAAGAGTATGTTAAAAATACAAATATGAAAAAACTGTGGTGCACATGAAAGCGAGGCACACCAAAAGTATATTACAAATACCAATGATAGCTTTCACCATTACTCTACTCACAAAACTGTTCCAACAGCTAAATGGGAGTCTTGGGATATTTATCAATTACCAAATTTTACTTGAAATGTCTTAATGCAATCAACTATAAAATTTGAATACCTAACAACACAGAGTAAAAACAATCTTCAATTATTCAACAAAATACCCTTATGGTAAATTAGTTTATTATGTATTAACTTTAGCCAAATAATTAGCAAATTGTTTTAACCCAATTAAAAATAAGATAATAATACAGTGAAACATGGTACTCAATTATATTTCAAATAAACATTAAAACAGTACCTCTTTCATATTCAACTACAGAAAAGTTGAAAGCAATTGTTCTGGTAATTGAGAAAATGGGTAATTTTTTTAATTTATTTCCTTAAATTTATCAGTATTAGAAAAAGAACAAAAATTGAAAATGAGAAAAAACCAAAAAAGAATATTTCCAGTATTTACAAACTCTATACAAACCTGCTAAATATCGCTAAAATTTACAAGCATGCATGCTCAATTTTATCTCAAATATGAAAAAAAAAGTATAAAGCATGAAAATTTCACCTTCTTGCCAGAAATATATTGCTTAATGCTGAGTTCAAGTCGCTGGAAGAGTAAATGAGGATTATATTGAGTTAACCTGAAATATAGTAATGAAAATGTATTAACAACAACATTCAATACATCATATCTTGAAACCATGTGAAATAAGGAACTAATAAGTTTACTACTACAAAATGAAATTAGGTGTTTAAGATCAATTTTCCTTTTTTAAAACAATGTCTAATTTGCAATCATGAAGGATAAATAGAACGGCAATGAATGACAGTAATATTTATGACAGAAGAATCATAGGCCCGAGGATTGGTTGGTTTTAGATTCAGGTTCAATTATACAAGCATCCAAGATCAAAGACATCAAAATTGGTCCAAAAAATAGTTTCAAATGTTTTTATTTTACCATTATATGATGATGATTATATCCCTTACTAATTTTAACACAAGCCTGACTTTCAATAATCTTGTGAATGTTATCAAAAAAAATATTTGAATATATTTTATATTCAAAGCAAACTTCTAATCAACTTACTTTGATAAAATTTCTTTCTTATCTATGGTTTCTTCATTAGGACTGTCCTTCAAACCAGTGATAACTTCTCGCAGCATATTCCAACCTTTCGCATGTACTCCATGTTGCTTTACTGCATTTGTATTTAATGTTCTGAAAAATTAGAAAAAAAAAAAACTTGCAACTTTTGAATAAAATGATATTTTCTATGCCTTTCATTGTAGATCAGGCTCTGTACAAACGGCCATTGCCAGAATTAAAAAGGATTTACAGATTTGTCCAGAGAGGAAAGGGTTAAGATGAGTTAATCATATGGCAAACCACAGGCTCTCGTCCAGTTACCAATCCTTGTCAGTATGGGATCAGTTAGCCAGTAATTAGTTTCAAATGCATGGACTTGGTGGTGGAAGAAATTGCAACCGATCATGTGAACCACCCTAAGGCGACAATGAGTCCTGCGATCCTTCGACATAGTTATCCCTCCACTGGATCCAAACCTGCCAACCCATGCAGGGTAATGGTGAACGTATTCCCAATGCTTAGCATGGTGCGCCACATCCCAGAGCACTGTATTTTGTGAAGGCCAAAATCATCCTGGTTGTGAATCGCTTACCCAACTTATTACCCCCTTACTCATAACCTGCGATAACTACTAACAAAGTAAGGACCAGGCCTTTTATTAAAAAAAAAATGAGCAACGGTGATTCAACTTTTTTCTGTATGCATATGAATTCACATTATGTCTCATAATCTATCCATTCCCAAAGACCTGGATTTTAATTTAAAAATAGAATTTCAAACATGACTTGACATTTGAATTGTAATTGACATTTTGCTATGGCTATATAATGTTGTGCTCATCTTAAACTGATTCATTTTCAGTAAAGGATCATAAAACAAATCCCATTTTTCAAACTTGTACAGTAAGGTACTAACTTAAATTATCTAAATTATTTAGAATGCATCTTTTTCTAGCAGTTCTCATTTTAAATTTTATTCAAAATAAAGAATCTATTAATGTTAGTTGTTTGATGAAATTGTTTGATGATTACAATTTTGAACTGAATGAATAAACAGGTCTCGATCTTTATAGTGACCATTCCATTGTATTACAACAATAGAAATCTTAACAAAGGGAAATAGATTTCTAATAAGAGTTCAATTTATTGATCAGTGTAGTTTTTCATTATTTAAAATTCCCTTATAAAATTAATTCATTGATGTTTAAGTTATATGAAAAATTCCACTTTCAGTCATACGTTCATTTCTCCAAATGCTTCATTTAAAATGAATACACTAATTAAAATTTTATGTTTTTCGAGAAGAAACATACAACTTGGATTGTGGTTTTTCTTTCTAATTAAAATTTTCAATAATAAAATGTTTGAGGATAAATAAGGAATCTACTAACAAAACAGATGCCTTACTAAAGTCACAGTTAAATAATATTCATTATCTCATATTGAATTGGAATGTAAATTATATTTCTTAAACAAGTTGATGACCTAAGAATAATCAATTGAGTTTGAGTACACTATTAGGCATATTACTCAAGATATTGTTCTGCTTTTGACTGGTTTCTGTTTTAGTTGAATGTATTTGCATTCTATATATCAAATTATTCTTTGTGGTAATATCTACAACTTCCTAATTGCAGTAAATGGTAAGTGACTCTTTTATGAAACCAGATAAACTGTGAATAGTTATGGCTCTTTGCTGATAAATGCAACTCTGCTAAATTTGGTTAAGCAATACTTTAATGGCCATCAGTCAATTAGACAACCAGAATGCATATTCATAATAACAAAGACCAATCTAAAGATAGAATTCTTAGCAATGGAATATTTTTGTACATGATTAAAAAATTTATCTGGGATTTCCTCAGCCTTCATAAGGAGTATTTGAGAAATATTGAAATGTTGAAGAACAGTGAAATTTTGAACATTTTTGATAACAATTAAATCATGGGATATTTACCTTTGACGAAATTCACAAGATCAAATGTATTGTTTATCAATGATGATATATAAACAATAAAAGTATACAAATTATCATAAAAATTCTGAAATTTATAATATCAAGACCTTTTTAAGTGTAACAGAATGAATCAATTTCAGTTTTCCAAATTCTGAAACAACTTTTATGATGTATTTTAACATGTAAAATTCCATAGAAATAGAAAATCATAGAAATGGCATAAATCCATCAAACTTAAAAATAACATTTATTGTTTTTACCAAATTATCTAGAATTTTCATACAAACAAGAAATGACTGCGAAAGACAGAAAGCCAGTAAGCGTGAATGATAAATTATGAATGTTCAACCAGTCACACATCAGACTGCATCCCGCAAAGGCAACATTTGCGCTTTTAAAGGTGAAAGAAAGTTCTCACTTTTATTTAGGGCAGATCTCACACTATATTAAAAATTGTGAATTTTTATTCGTTTCTGACACATCTTCTTATATTTCATCCATTACCTCTGCATGCAAGTTCACAGGACAATACATAAAAAAATAAAAATTCGAACTTACAGTCTATGCAAACAAGCTTCGCATGGGCAGGTCGTTCTGGTGGCAATATCTTCATGGAGTTCTTCGTTGCAATTTTCTTTTACAATGAAATCTTCTGCTTTGATTGACTGAAACAATAATAATTATCATAGTAAAATAAACAGCAAATTACAACTTTTTATCAATTACAATTTGAACCTACTAGAACGCAACACATACTCGGTAATTCGGGATATGCTATTTTGCCTCTTTCGCTACAAACAGTCTTCAATGTGCATACTACACTTTGTATATGAAATTGATTTCTCATTTGGGGGTATTTGATTGTATTAAGGTGTTTAGATTCAAAATGAATCAAGTGACACATCCTTTGTGGAATGTGGATTTACAAAAAGAATCACGAGTTGGTAACCAGCGAAGAATTTGTTCCTCAGAGCTACACACAAAAATAAAACCATGTCATAAATTATCTATTCATCTATTTTTATCAGATGAGAAAACCATCAAAAAACGCAGTCACTTCTTCATTGTTTGTATTGAACGATTTTTATCTTTTCTATTTGAGCGATTGCATGTTTTTAAGATAAATATATGAACACGAAAAATCGTTTGGGGTGATGTAATCTATTTAAGTATTCAACAAATCAGATTCATCACACAATAGACATAAAGTATATGAGAGAGGAATACAAAAACCTAACCACAAAAGTTACGTTGTATTTAAATATTTATTTGCCCACCCCAAAAATCAACTTATGAAATAATAAAAGGCAATAATCTATGTTATCTAATTTATCTTTAAAATATTAGAATCGGAATATTACAGTTTTCTTTGAAATTTTCAGATGGCCCGCAGAATGATATTTCATACTAATTTTAAGGCAAATACAAATATTACAAGATAGCAAAAACTCTGTAAATGTTAATATTGAAAAAACTACTGGGACACTGTAAATATCATTTACGCTGGGGTGTTTCACGAGAACTAATCATGAAAAGGGAACTATTGAGTATCAAAGGAGACAAATGTGAGAGTCTGGCAGATAACCACTGGTTTAAACTCATGCGCAATTCTACATTATAATTCAGTGGCCGGCAAAGATTTTTAAGTGAGGCACAAATAGTAAAATGGAAAAGTTTCAAGACCCAACAACTTTATTGAAAATTCCAAATTAAACCACATTAATCTTAACAGACATTTAATCTGTAATTGAAACTAGTATGAACATACCGGTACACGTGGCGGTACAAAGATTGAACAACCGAACATAGCAGTACACGGACCTTAGCTTGTGCAATTTTGATGGCACAATAAAATAACCGGATTCGCAAGAATGAACATACCAGAACAGTTGCAATGCCAGTACTATAGTTGAAATGAACATAATATATGATCGTTTGATATATAAACAAAAATCATTCGACAAAAAATTTATATGCAATGTTGGACTTATAGAACTCTTGTGTATCACTGCCCATAATTGAAGTTCATTGGAGGCCCACTAGAAACACTCGGTGGCCAACGTTCGGGGCACAGCCCATAGTTTGCCGACCACTGTCATAATTCCTTATAATCCCACTATACTTTAGTATTCACGAGTAACTTCGATCCTAGATCAATCTCCTTAATTTTGGGGTGAGTGCAGTTACCTTGCTTTGAGCAAATTTCCGTAAAAAAATAAAATATACACATTCTCCTAGTTTGTTTCAGCCCTTCCATCGTCATATGCAGTACCTATGTGAGTCTGTTGACTTCTACAACAATTTTAAGTAATTTTTTTCGAACCTATAAAACGCAATTTTCAGTTGATCACATTTCTCCAATTCCAAGACTTCCCAACATTTGGTTCAATAAAACAAACATTATATTTGTCTATGAAACGAGGGCGTCTGGCACAACGGCAGATAATTATTTTCGACCAACATGTGACCAAAATTTTGTTTTTTTGCTTAAAACTCTCAAATGCTACAATAATTTTTTTTCCTTCGTTAAATCGGATCCTTTTTCCTGAGGAATCCAATTGTGACGTTTATAGATTGCGCTCCCTTTTAGTTTATAGCACCAAGCTGGACTGTCAATTTATGCCGATATGAAGACCCAAACTGTCTTGTAAAGAAGGAGTTGTAATCACTGTTTTAATTCAAGCTACAATACAATTTTTGGAAATTTTCATTATTGAAATTGGCAAGTGCAGTTTTAAGTATTCTGTGGCGTCTGCAGCTGCCGCAAAACCATGGTGGTATTTCCATACCAAGGCCGCTACGGCCAAACCTATAGCGACTGACTTTTTAGCTGCCACAAACCAATGTTGAGCTACCGCGGCAGCAAATTGAAAACCAATGGCAGGTAAAATTTTGCTGCTGTAACCGCGGCAGGTGGGCCGTAAAGATAGGGCTGTACCTTATGGTGACAAATATTGGGTAAGTTGGAATGTTTTTCTTATGAATACAGTTTTGGCGGATTTGGGGTTAGGGTTTAAGTAGATATAATTCCACATGATCAATTAAAATCTGGTACATTAATTTGTGAATATACCGTTAATACTGATTACTGAATAGCGCTATAAAACCATTGTAAGAGCTACCGTGGTTCGTTCGTGGCAGGAGCTGCCATGAAGTGGTAAGAACTGCGCCTCGGAATTGGAGAACTATGCTGTACTGTAATTGGTCAGACACAAATCATTTTCGTAAATATACTCGATTATAATTTTCCAGTTCATTTCCACATATAAAATCACTCTGTCACTATCAAATTTATTGTTTAACACAAAAACCAAATACTCATAAATGTTCAAACCCTGTCACATGCACTAAATACTGAAATACAGAAATAAAGCATCCACAAACTAACCCAAAATCTAAAGTAATAAACTAAAAAGCGCTAAAATGACAACACATAGACAACTACTGAACTAAGCTAACTTTTAACAGGAAATAAATAAAGCCAACCTATCTTTCGACCAGCTCTGGATTTATGTTTATATTGATATCTTACTTTTGTAATACTGTAATAAGTTTAACTTAGATAGATCCGTAGATAATATTAGACTATACATACCAAATTCTCTAGTTGAGATTTATCCATTTTGTTATGAAATGAGTTGTTTATAAGTCCTGGTAAAAATTGTTGGCCTGTCACACCTTTTAACTTCAAGTGTAAAGTTGGTTTTTCGTCGGTTTTACTCATGTAACTTCAGAACTTCCAATGTGCCAGTGCTAATTACGAAGGCTTTATTCCTTCATAAATAGCTATAAAGATTGAGAAGTATTACAAGACAGCAATATCATAGTACTTAATAATATACTATACCGTACAAAAGGGAACATAAAAGCGCGATGTCAGAATATAGAATAGGACTGGTCTATTTTTATTCAGCATACCACACACCCGAATTACAGAGGTGAAACGGTATGAAGCCAATACTTGAACTGGCAGAATCTGGGGGAAAATACGATGCCATACGGATAAAATGCTATCACCAAATGAACCTATACATTTGAGTTTTCAACGCTAAGTTTTGCTGTGTAAAATAAATATTGCTAATCACATGTTAAAAAAAAGACGTTTGAATTATGTACGTACTTGAATATTCAATATATTATAATATATCCAATATATTTCGCAAGCTCATATCATTTAATGTAAAACATTCAGCTATGTAATTATACCCTTTTTCAGCATCTACTTTATTATATTTTATTTAATAAAATAGTCACTTATATTATGCATATTCACGAACAAATGGTAAGTAAGAAAAAATCTAATATATTTCAAAAAACCGACACTGCAAATTCATTATTTTTTTCGAATAGAACCATATTTGGTTAGTGGCATGTAATTCTGTCTGTGTTCGTTTCTACGTGAAAACAGTAAGAATGCGAAAAAAAACTGCAGTAGTGGTGGCCTACGAGTCATATTGCGGATGTCAAATGGCAAAATGCGGTCGATTTGTGCCAAAGTGGGGATAGCGGAGTAAGGTCGATGCGTGTCAATTTGGGGATGGAAAAAAAGAAGGCCATGGCGGTGTCAGTCTTACACTGCTGTTTATAAATTTGAAAGTTCGTTTTTCACCAGCCCAAGTTGGAAACACATTGACCATATTTCGCTGTCATTTTGAGGCATTTTTATCCCTTACATATAAACACCGCAGCGCATTATGGGAATTTCTGTTACTGACCCTATTTGGCCAACCTAATAAAATAAAACCTTTACACATAATTGTACCGACTGTTATATGAAGGCGTGTAGGTTACATGCCGTCATATCAAATGAAAAATGAATTAGATAAACCAGCAGAATTTTCGGTTTGATGTTTTAGATTCAAAATTGCCTCCAACTGCAGAACCGACCGTTTCCAAACAGTCAGCCGATGTGAAGTTTCCGTCTGAAATCTCCATCGGTTATAATGATGAAATACACACATACAACAAAATACATACGAAAATAAACTTTACTTGAATTTCAAAATTAACTACACATTCAAGTTGTAACAAATTGCAGCAAAGCTGAGCGGGGAGATATATTATGTGCAAATGATTTTGAATGAAAGGTAGATGCAGATGAATTTTATAATACGAAAAATAATAGGCCAATCGTAAAATCTCGTATGACTCCTCTGAAAAGTCACAGAAATATACTCCCCATTTTGAACATATTGCTGGCACTCGCTAAAAATGATGTATTATGTATTGACAATAAATCCTTTTCACGAATACTATAATCCCATTTTTCGGTTCACAGTATCGACTCTCGCGGGATCCAGAACAATTATCTAAGTAACCTTCTTCTTTTCATTATTCTCCATTTTCGTTCTTCAGTAAGTCCATGCTTCCGAAAACAAAATAACTGGCTAATTAATCTCATACCCGACCTGGACTGGTAACCGGACGAGAGGCCGTGGTTCGCCATATGATTAAGCCGTCTTATCGACTTTCCTCTCCCCGGGGATAAGTATGTAAATCCTATCCTATCCAGTAAACCAAACCGTGATAGACAAAAATCTTCCGTAATATCGAAAAATACTTTCATATCATTCTTAATTTTAGGTCTCGTTTCTCACAAAATAAATATGCCCTTGATTTTAACATTTGGCCTTTTTGGCATATTTTCGAAGTACGTTTTTATAATTTTTTTTTTTTTATATATATTTTCCACCATGAGATGAACACGACATTTCATTGATAAAAAACAAAGTGCACAAGTGACGATGACTGTTAAATTGGATAGTGGCATATTTCAAGGGTTTTGAATTCTATGTTTTATTAATATTCATTTGGGGCCTATGATTTGATATTTTACCGGACAAACTAATTGCCTGGTGTGAACTAACTTGAATTTGCGATGAAAGGTTCAGAACTGTTCCGAATAAAGGCCTTGACAATTCACGCTATTTATCAATCAAATATCTATCCAATTTATAAAAAAAAATTCAGTGGAGTGGTATCGTGCTTAGGAAGGGGCTATTTTTGATGCTTGGTCAACGAGTTTGCATATGACAGATGAACTCATCAAGTTTAGTCCAACAATATTTATGACTCGAATATGCAAATATCTACATTGAATCACGTGCTTCAATATTAGGTATACGATTCAAACTTAGTTTTCTTTGCGTTCCTTGTTCGCGCTTACATTTGACGTTTCTCTGGTTTTGCTTTTGGGTTAGGGCAAGGATAATATTTATATACTGACCTTAGCTTAAACTCAATTGGATGTGGACTTGTGGATTGATATTGATTAGTTTGGATCAAATTGTAATGCTAAAAACATTATTATTGCAGTTATATATATATAGACATAAGACATCTATCATATAAGTAGGATGATTTTTTAAATAAATTTGTACAGTTCTTGAGTTTAGATAGTTCCAGGGGAAGTTGTGTATATATTGTTGGTGACTTTAACATTGATCTGATAAATTATCAAGTTGACAATAATGTCACTGAGTATATGGATACAATACACTCTTATGGTTTTGTACGTGGTATCAACAAACCAATACGGGTCACTAATTCATCGGCCACTTTGATAGATTATTTCAATAGAATATAAAACAACTTCCCCTTTTTTTTTATCGCCAATGCTTCATCTGACTGATTTCTTATATACAGCATGGGTCAGACATCTCGATGACCTAACCGGTTGGAGGCGCTCGCGACTGTTGGAGATTGTTACATTTTACATCGGTCGCTACATTTTGCCTTCGAAATTGTCTGTACTTTCAAAACTCGCAGGGTGGTTCAAGTAACCGTTGGTGGATTACGACTTCCACATTATCAAGTCCATGCTTCCAAAAACAAAATAACTGGCTAACTAATCCCATACCCAGCATGAACTGGAAACCGGACATAGTTCGCCATATGATTAAGCCGTCATAACGATTTTCCTCTCCCCGGGGGTAAATATGTAAATGCTATCCTAACTGTCCACGAGCAATTTTCGTGCTGGACCTGGCCCCATGCGATTAACCTGCCTTATAGTCCATCCAAAAAATGAAGGCAATCTGAATTTCAGGACTATCCATCAATTACATCACTCCATTGCTACTGTTTATCCCAGCATCGTATACTGAACTAAGATACAACTTGAACACGAGAAGAGAAGTTCTTGGTACAACTAAGGCGATGATGTTTACATTTTGTAACGGTATGTACATTCCAAACAAGCATAAAAGACATAACAAAACAAATAATTAAACACTTCAAGAACTTGCATGAAAGAATTTGAATACTAGTACCTAAATTGATTTAATATGGGTACTCAGAAGAAAAAAACAGAAAACACAGTGTTGAACAAGAGTCGTCTCGAGTTACTGATCCCTTCTCATTCACATCAAGAAAACTGGAACTCAATAGATTTAACAAATATCTGAAAATAAGAGATGTAGATATGCAAGAATGTCACGTAGGTGCATTCATTCAATTCTACTAGGAACAGTTATTTTCAACCATCTGAGAAAGGCAACCACATATGCATCACTGAGCAAATTTTCTCTTTTTCAAGATAAATGTGATTCCACATGCAACAGCACTAGTATAATTGCCATTAAAATTAAAGAGAACACCACGATTGTTTGCTACAATCATCATTAGATATTGATATATTATTACATAATATAACTATCCTAAGTGATTCAAGAGTCTTGCTGCACACTAACACAAATGTATTTCTGTAACGATTCGTCTGACCAAGGTCAGGCTTCCTCAGACATACATAGTTCTTGCTATAGTTGATGTATAAAAATATATGTAGAATAAAAATTCATTGCTTACCCTAAGCAGCAACATCCACTATATACTCCGCGATCTTCCAAGTATCTACCATTAAATCATTCAGCCATTTTCCATTCTCATCTTCATTCGCATTGTAAAGGCAAACATCATAAACTAACTGCCCTTTCGCTGGTGTCGTTTTAACAATATGTGCAGTCAACTTTTTTTCAGTCACCCATTCTTCAAATAACTTGGTGGCTTTTTGAACGTTCTCCGTTGATAAATGTACTGGTCTTATTCCAGCGAGTCTACCATGAATTGCAAACGGAGCATGTTGTACAAACTGAGGCAGAAGTTGATAGATTCTATCTATTGGAACACAGTCTCGAGTACCCAGATCAATTAAGAACACACTGGCGAGGTTTTGAACAATTTTACAGACTTTTACTCTGTGCCAGCGAACAATATTGTCGACTTCACATGGCGCAGCATATAGTGATTCCTCAGTAATAGTAGCTGAAGATACTGTGGTGGAAGACATGGGGATGTAATATTCATTCATTCGGCTCGTTAGATCGTGTAGCGTAGGTAGCATTTCAGACAGAACCATAAAAAATGTGCCGGGGGATTGGATTTTGGTTACAATTACAGAAACAAGTTTTCCGAAATGTTTTTTCATTATAGGAATGGGTGAAGGTGATGTCATGTAAACAATGTTGGAACCTGTATCCTCTTTGTCAGAGGTTGCATCATCTGTATTACATGCTTTGAATCGCCATTGTTGCATTTTTTTAATTGCCATAGATAGAGAGCACGATGATTTTAAAATTCTTGATGGAATGTGACAAGATTTATTGAGACTTTGACGACTCAATGAATAGTTCGAGTTGCTCTTAGCTGATTCTGAATTTTTAACAGGTTTGGTATGGGCCTGAAAATTTGAAACATTGAGGGGTGAATGTGAGCGCATGGGACTGAATGGTTTCTGATTCTTGACCAATTTATATCGTGAACAATGACTTCCAAATGATGATTCAGACATGGGTTTACTGGGAAAGGATAACTTGTCTTCGGAACCTGATGAAGATGCAATAGCTCCCAAGACTTTTTGTTGGGTTTGGGTCCAGATTTCATCATCATGGTGCAATGAAGAATTGCTAATATCCATACTTTCTTCACAAATATTAGTTGAATTCATTGAATCAATGCGAGACAAAGCATGCATAGAGATTTCTACAGCAGGTTCATCGCAGTCAGATAAGTCTGAATCAATAGTTACATATGAGGTATCACTTTCATCATTCTCTTCCTCGGATAATCCCAAATCAGTCTGTGAGTTGAAAATGTGATATTCATCAATTTGTTCTTCCTCCTTCATCAAACGCTGATTAATGTTAAGAGACCCAAGTTTGCATGTTACGTAATACACTATCTTCAATACACCATCAACAGATTGCTTCCGGACAGAATCCAGAGTTGCTTTGATTGTTTTTCCCAAGAATAAGTGATTGAATTTAGATGAAGCTCTTTCAGACCAGTCAACACTTTCATCTGGTTTATGCAGAGAGCATAAAATAGCCATTTCAGGTATAGATTTTATTTCTTGCAACATAGGTGCAAGGTGCTGTCTATGCATTTCTTGTTCAACCCCAAAATCCATGTGGTAAACTTTGGCCTTATTTCCCGACACGGTTGTAATTCGTCCTCGTCTTCCCCCAGATTCTATCCAACTAATAGTTTCCATTCCTGTGCTTAAATTTGTGATAGTTCCAAACTTTGCATGTTTCGATAATTCTTGTATAGTTTTTAAATCAGATGCAGATTCTGATACCTGTATATAAAATTTTCCGCAATCAACAATGTGTGTAATATGAGCTTCATGTTCTGTACCAATTCTTAAAACTCCGGCTTCTGGAACTTTGTTGAAATTTTTTTCTGATAGTGCTGGATATTTAGGACCTTGCTGGATTATTTCTGCTTTGCGTGGGAGAAATATTATCTTGCTATCATTTTCAATTCTCTTTATATTTGTTACATCACACAAAAGACCTTTTTCCATTTTTCTGATTACATTTTGATTAAGTTCAACTTTGTATGTTTCCGAGTATGCTGTGAGGAGACGAGCAGGTGTTATACCACGTGGGCAAGCAGAAAGAATTCTCTTTATTCGCTGCTTAACAGCATCACTTATGTAATTTTCTTTATCATCACATGCATCTGTGACAACACCTTTAGCTGCTTCTATCTTTGGCTTATTTTTAAGTGGGTGAAATATAATTTTCTCTCTATTACCTTTTGTGAGTTTCTCAACCTCAACAACATCTTCCACTAATCCACATTCCAAATTTTTCAAAATTACATCAGGAAATTTACTATTGAATGTTGCATGATAAACAGTTTCAAATTCTGCAGAACTGATTCCAAAAGGGTATTTAGCGGTAATAGACTTTATACGATTTTTAACTGTGTCCTTGATTTGAATTACCATGTCTTTCATTTCAGCTGATAAAATAACTCTTTCAGATTTCCACGTTATGATATCAGCCTTTTCATTATTTATTGCACTTGACGTTGATTGTGATTGATTTGGTTGTGCTTTGTTATTGTTGAGTTTGTCCTGATTGCACATTTGTTTCATTTGGTCTTTAGATAATTTAGAAGGCACAATTTTAATGGCATGTTTTACACCAGTTGATCCAGATGCTGTAATAGGCTTGGCGTTAGCTTTTATTGGTGATGATTGTTTTATAGGATAGAGAATGGTTTTTTCTCGAATTCCACATGTCAGTTTTTCAACCGTTGCTACACCTCGAATGGCCCCTCCTTCCAAAGCATATACCACTGAATCTGCCAATTTACAACCATACGCATCGAAATACAATTTCGGCAAAGTGTTTGAGAAAACCCCACTTGGGTTTGATCCAAGTAGTGTTTTGATTCTTATCTTGATCACATCGCTCATCTTGATATCTTTGGATGCGTCCTTGTCCAAATTGATTTTCTCCGATTTCCAACGACTTGTTCCAGATGAAGGTATTGGAATGTTTCTGAATCGCGGAGCAACAGCAGCAGCAGTATTATTTGAAACTTTGACAGAAAAATCACCACCCTTTTTAGACAAGTGCACCTCTCTCATTTTGTTTTGTCGTTGCATGTATGAACTTCCAGCAGATGACACATGTTGCTTGTGGGTAGTAATGACACGAGCACCAGTAACCGGTGCATGTTGAATATTAGAACTCGCAACACGCCTTCCAGAATACGGTGGAAAATGCCGTACAGTTGGTGTTGGTAAAAGACCTTTTCTTTGGCTGTTAGGTGTTGTCAATAACACTTTTCTTTGTCCATGATGCCTAGTAGTAGTTCTGCTAGCATATCTGCTGAAGGACTGATTCGCTTTTGAACATTTATATCCTCTTTTAGACTTCTTTTTGGCAGATCTTTGACTGGATACCATTTTTTGAATATGCTTTGTGCTATCATCAGCAACAGCATGATACATTGTTTCTCCAAATCGTTCATTTATACGGACCACATCAGGAATAGACTGAATGAGTTCATGCACAGAATTAAAACCAAGTTTTTGAAATGGTATTCCACCTCCTGTTAAAGATTTGAAATCAGACTGGAGTCGATTTGCTTGTACACCTTCTTTACACGACAGCAATACAGCACGAATCATTTTCTTTGTGCTTTCTAACTTTTTTGAGACATCCATGGTTGTTATGATTAATCATGAATAGCTGATATGTATTAAGCTAAAGATATATAAAAATGATATTATAAAAAAATTGAATTATTAGGTATGAAGGAAAATAAAATGGGACTAATTATGAAACATGTATTTCCAATTGAACCCCTAAAAATAGGTTCCAAAATAATAGAAAACAAGTTAGATTATGGGAACTGCACAAGAAATGGTAGGAAAAAAGGTATGCAACCTGTGCATAATTGCCTGCTCCCATTAAAATCAAATACAATCGTAAGAAAATTAGTCATCTATGTTAGCCATTGCTCAAGATATGTTATCCTCGTGCTGAGAGCCTGAGACAGTGATTTTTCAGCAATTCGAAATCTACCATTTCCCAAAGTATATTAAATTAATTCACCTCATAACTTGTAAAATGACAGACTTTTCTTATTATTTCAGCTTAAACCAAATCATTCATCAAATGATATCACAATCTATATGACAGAATGCGCCCCTATTAAGGTGAAAACTGAGCTTTACAGGATACTGTGTTATCCTGTATATGTTAATGGATAATTACTATATACAAAATTGAATTTTTTTTATTCACATTACATTTTATCAAACAACAGCTGACAAAGTCTGTACCACCATTACTGAGTCTTATTGCTTTACATATAAAACGAACTTTTAAAGAAGGTGAGATACAGATTAAACAATGCTGATTACGCTAACTAAATACCAAATTAACAGTAGAAAAACTAATTAATATTCAATTAATGAGCATCATGTAGTTTAATATTAATCAATTACATAGGTTTCTTCAGAATTTAAGTAAATAGTCAATGCAGATTTAACAAATTCTAACTGGAGTGGAGAACAATTCAATTTCTTTGACTGACAGGCTTTGGCCATATATGAGCCCATCCTCAGCATACTGCATTAAATATTGGAAATAAAAAACATAACTGCCACAACTACTTGAAGACAATACAATAGCCTAACCTTTAATTGAGATTAAGATTTAAAAACCATTTCAAATAATCATTAGTTATACTTTTGTTACACAATTCTTAATACATGTAAGTTTTAATGTACTGTATTTTGCGGACCATCCATAAAGCAAGCTTATGGATATGAAAAATATTTTCCTGAAAAATCAAAATGCATGGATCAAGTGCTTATGCTTATTGCCCAGATTCAAAACCAGTACCAGGCCAGTTACGCCCCATAGTTCAGTGCGAATTGGCTAGTGTATGAATAAGAAACCAATTTATTGACACTCATGACAGTGCGCCATATGACCCGCTGCGCCTTACGGTCCGTAAAATACGGTAATGCCAGTAAAGAATATGAATTGATTGGTTTAGCAATTATGTCCAAAATGTTATATTTCTAGATACCAGCTTCCCACTTCATTTTGATTTGATATAATTTGAATTGATTTCCTAAAAACAAAATATCTTGTGCTGCAATAATGGAAGATTCAAAGACAATCAGCTATTTCAATTGTATACGTAACGAAACAGGGTTATTGTATAGTATAATTTCAAACTTTGCTTCAAATGAGTTTTTTACATTGATACTTACAATTTATGTTAGTATGCGAAAATATAAATATCAATTTTATCATTCACTTCTTTGCTAAAACTAATACGGAACTTCTTGTTTTCAGAAAAACTGTTGTTGACAAAATACTGTAAAACTAAATTTGCTCAAATATAAATCTCATACAGGACAATAGATTCTTAGGTGTAAGAACATTACAGATACTGAAAATCTCTAATAATATTGATTAGGCCTATCAAATTGCATTTTAAGATTTCATTCGCTGAAAATACATTTGAAAGTGGCAACTCTGATTCATAAACTATTTTTCAGTTTTAATATGTCTCCTCAAAGAATTATCCCGCATTTGATTTTGTGCAATTATCTCGGCAACTACACAAACACATGTTATACTGTTATATAAACAGTGAAAAAGGGACAAAAACGAATAAACTAAATGCTTCAAACATTGGAGGTGAACAAACTTTGATAAACGCATACTCTAGCCTTTGAATCTAAAAATGTTAACTGCAATGCCAGCTTTTTAATAAGTTTAAATCTCTATTGTTTATTTCATTATTACCACTGCATGAAAAGAAAATGTATGAAGAATACCAATAAATGAACACACACAATGCTATTGAAACGCCACTAACTTCCAAATCTGTTGATGTCCACCTCCAGATCTCTATAACTTCAGCACTTGCTGACTTGGGCTGTATTGTTTTTCTTCGATATGTTACATAACTAACATAATTAGGCATATTTAGGGTGGTGCAATATTAGCACAACAAAGCAATATGAATTTTTGAGTTGCATTGACAAAGTTATTGCATTAACAACACAAATCGCACTTAAACCTGTAAACTGAAATTGATAAAGTTACAGGTACCGTCAGACCGTACGGTACCGCAATCGTCGCCACGACGGAAAACTAACATTGGGCGTTTTTCTGTTTCAGCATTACAAATTACAATTGCGCTTTTACAGCCATTTTATGTACCGTATTAGGTCTATATATAAGTAAATCTTCTTCAGTTCTTATATACAGGAATACAACTCGACATTCAGAAATTTAAACTAGAGAAAAAGCCGCTCGAACTCTCCCCGGGAGCTGAAAATTAGGACACACGTAATCAGCGTAGCGAACGCTTCTTTTAACTAATCAAACAAACCTTTCGATCTCAATTTAATTGTGCTGCGTAAGCAACAAAAAGCAACGATGTGTCATTTTTGTTCTCGATTCCACAGGTTTCCCGCTGGGTGGTAAACAAAACGAGATTGCGTGTTTGAGTTTCCAACATGTTTAGAGAGATGCAAATACAATCAAAGAAGTCATACTGTGTAGGTTCAATTCCCGTATTCATATCAACGAGCAGCAGGCTTCTCATTAGCTCTAAAATAAATACAAGACAACAACACCGCTTGCTTCTCTGGATTAATTAACGGTGAAAAATGTTCATCGTCAGAATAGTAAATATTAATATTAGGTCATACTGAATATATTCTAGTTATCCTCGAGTAACTAAGCGTTAGAAATTCAAATGGCCGGCGGATGTAGTAAATATAATGTGATTTTGCTGAAAGCTTCAATGAACGAGCAGAATGAAGACTGCGAAGCCCGAAGTGAAATATTATCGCAGTAGGTTCCGTGCATCCCACAAAGGAGTCCACGAAGATGCAAAAAAGTCGACATACTCCCTATGTTGCATTGAATTTAAATATTAATCTTCTGCGAAGTTCAGGCGTTAGATCATATTAAAATTTAACAGTAGTATAACGCCTATAACAAATGTTATAACGGATCTTATTTTCCAACCAGGATTTTTTTCTGACACGTGCATTTTTTATGCAATATGTCGAGATTGGTTCCATTACATTTGAACCCACGTACATTTGAACCCATGACAATATATTCTAAAATAAATACAAGACAGCAACACCGCTTGCTTCTCTGGATTAATTAACGGTGAAAAATGTTCATCGTCAGAATAGTAAATATTAATATTAGGTCATGCTGAATATATTCTAGTTATCCTCGAGTAACTAAGCGTTAGAAATTCAAATGGCCGGCGGATGTAGTAAATATAATGTGATTTTGCTGAAAGCTTCAATGAACGAGCAGAATGAAGACTGCGAAGCCCGAAGTGAAATATTATCGCAGTATGTTCCGTGCATCCCACAAAGGAGTCCACGAAGATGCAAAAAAGTCGACATACTCCCTATGTTGCATTGAATTTAAATATTAATCTTCTGCGAAGTTCAGGCGTTAGATCATATTAAAATTTAACAGTAGTATAACGCCTATAACAAATGTTATAACGGATCTTATTTTCCAACCAGGATTTTTTTCTGACACGTGCATTTTTTATGCAATATGTCGAGATTGGTTCCATTACATTTGAACCCACGTACATTTGAACCCATGACAATTGCACCTGTATGAATTTTTTTTGTTTTGCGGATATTTGAATCCATACTAACCCTAACCCATGGGTTTTAGCACCCGCATATAGATTGAACCCGTGGATATACACATGGGTTCAAATGTACGGTCACCGTTGAGATTTGATGAGTCAAAATAAACGTCAACGACAGGTCCGTGACGTGATTTCAGGGGTCTGTGTAATTGTGAATCACTAGTTAAGATTTAAAGAATGAATTAGAATCGCCGAAAGGCCCAGTAGGCCTACAAGATGAGAATAAATTGAAAAAACTTTCTGGTGAATATTTCATATTTTGGCTTGTGTCTTGGTTGAATCTTTTTAGTCCTTCCATTTCGAATTTAGCATGACAGTTCTAGCAATACTCCACTCATCTCTTGATGTCACAAATGTTCTTCAGGCAATCCCTGGGAATGCTGGATGGTTATGACGAGGCAGTTTATTTACTGGTTTTACTTTTATCTCTTTGTGTATATTATGATATTGCGTATATTGTGTCGCACGTAGGGCTGGGCGTTTCGAAACACTGTTTCGATACGTTTCGAAACGTTGATATATATGTCGAAACGGCGCTGTTTCGACTTCCGAAACGGATATTCTGAGGTCATAGCAAATGCAACCAGAAATCAGTCAAGGTATTATTCAGCGATGTCCAATTCGAAATTAATATCCGAATTCATTCGAATATTGTGACTCTCAAATATCGTTTTTAGTGTTTATAAGAATATTGAATATCGCGCACAAGTCCTAGCGCCGCCGTCCGCGGTTTGATTGAAAACATATCACAATTATTTCATTTTTTATGTTATCGGAGACACTCTTATCGTAATCGGAGACACTCTTTGCGACGCGCAATAAATGACTGCCGACATGAAATGATTCAAGTCAGCGCCGACTGCTGAGAGAGAGAGCTGCCTCGAAGAAAAATAAAACACGATTTTCAGTCTTAATGCTCCGTCATTGGCGGATGGAAATTTGTGAATCGGGTCCACTCATTTGATTACAGCGATGATCGCAGTATAAGCAAAATAAAAATCAATTCCCCCCCAGTAGCACAACAGTCAATATTTGCGGGAAGGGATACTTGTGGCGGAATTCAGTTGAACGATGTCGATGTCACGCTGACGATAAACAATCAATGAGTTAATTTTACTGTATAATTTAAAACATTTCTTTGGGCGCCCAGTTGTTCTTTTTTCTGTGCTTGTCAAGATAGGTCACAATTCATAACTACTATAATGTTTATTAATAAGTCCATTTCCCTAGAGCAAAAATAACTAATTTCACTCAATGATAATATCATGAAATCCCATTTCCTATGTTCCTGGAGTTTGAAATGTATTCGGAATTCAGATTGAAATTTTTTTTACAATGTACTGGGTCACGAGGATCTGCGGTGTCGGATAAAGTAGAAAACGAGCATTAATACGTTGGGAGCCCCATATGCTATGCTGCTTGTGAGCCCCATCTCTAACAATGACGTAATTCGTATTATTCTGGTGCCATTTGGTCACTGCTTTGTCATTAAGTAGAAACCTTCGTGGAATTATCCTTATCGGTTCATGCTC